CCCCGCTCGTGCCACGATAACGCGATTGAGCTTAAGAATGCGCTCCATAAGGCCGATGAGCGCTTTGATATTGAGCTATATAAACAGGACCATACTGTGGAAGGCCACACGCGCTACATTAGCGTCAAGTCCGGCGGCAACCTTCTCCTGGATAAGCTGTCGACGTATGGCAATATGGGGAGCTTGGTCGTGGCGATTAACGCCGTTTTGGCCATTGACGGCTAGCTTTAGCCGCTGTTATGATTAAAGAATGGGGCATCTTGGTTCTATAAAAAGGTAAAGTAGGACCCTTATTCTCATCTATTGATAGATAGCTTTTAGTCTATGCTTGTATTGTAGTTCACCCTCTTTAGATGATAGGCCTTGTTTAGTGTATAATCAGATTCATTGCTTAACCTATACTCCTTGTGCAATTTCTCTTCGCTTGATAACTGGTGTATGCTGGAACTAGACGTATCATTCCACATATCGCTAGTCCGGTACCAGCTGGCCATAAATTCAACCTCCACCTTAACGTCTTCTGTTTTGTGGAAATTGAAATCACGTGCATTAATTCAATCCGTTCCACTTGCTGTTTAAGTTGATGGACTTGATTCCATCGCAGTAGCTTCTACGTTGACCACCGGTTGAAAACCACCATTTAATGTAGAGTAGTGTCAAAGCTCGTATAATGCCTTAACGCTCACTTTTCCCCGCACTTTTGCCCTTCGCATCCGTACCTAATACACGTCGCGCCTCGGCAAGCTACGCGTCTGGTTCGTGTCTCCCACTAGAATGCTCGTTCCCATCGCTCTAAAATGGACGCTAACGTGCATATTAAACGCCGGTGCACTTCTGACTGCGATGCGTAAATTGAACCCTTTCTGCTCAGTTCTTTACTAGACGAGTGGAGCAACTTCCTATGGATTAAATTTTCAGGGTTCACGACCTCTGAACGCGCGGGCCGACAGACTTCGTGGATTGCGACTCTCCCTTGACTCGGAAATGGGTATGCAGGCCCTGTCTTAAGAAGCAAAAACGAAAGACCTTGGGTTTCTCTGCCGTTGGCACACAGAATATTGAGAAACATCTGTTCAAGGAGTACCAGCTGGTCGACGAGTTAGGGAGGAGGCCACCTGCGACGGAGAAGGGGTGGATATAGCCCTCCTATAGTGGATATAAGGACTATAGGAGTTTATACAATACTAGTAAGAGTAATACTAAATAATAAGTAGAATATAGAAGATGTTTCTTATAAATTATTAGAAGAGTATATAAAAATATAGTTAAATAGTTAGTAATTCTAAACATTAATATAAAGTAGGTGCTAAGACGTTAAGAGCTTAGTTTAGCTTTCAAGATTCTATTATCTACAGCCATTGCTTTTAAAGAATAGGTTAGCCGTGGACAGTCTAAAAAAAACCGCTTAATCTAAGCATCCATCCAGATAAATGCGATTGCTCACCCCTGCCAACCATGTCCCCCTATCCTTACAATACGCCAGGCAGCTAACCCGGCGGCCCGATCTTAGGAGGAGCCCGAAGCTTATTAGTAGATGATGGAACCACGGGCGGAGGCGACCGGCCTGTAAAATACGTGTCTCAAGCATGCAAGCATGGAGCGTATGTTAAGTAGGATAGAAGAGGGTTTCAACTGGTGGCCGTTTACCATTGGGCAGATGCCAGCGTGAGGCAACAATGCATGTATACGGTCATTCACCAGGTGCCAGCAAACGAGGAGTGAGGTGTGGCTCAGACGCAGCTCGCACCTAACAGTGGAAGGTAAAAATAAGACTCAAGGTGAACACTCGCAAGCAGCACATGACGTAACTTCACCCGTTAGATCAACTCGCAACCCGTAACTCGCCACTGGGAAGCAGCCATGATTAACGAATTCAGCTCTCACTGTTACGGTATGCTGGACTACAGATACCATACTATATACTAGCTCACGAATACCGGCACAGGTTCTGTACTATGAAGCTAGGGCGAGGACGAGTCTGATTACGAAGAAACTTTTCAACTGACTATCATCTCTGCCAATAGCTTCTATTTGCCATGTAGTTTAGGGCATTGTAACCTTCAGCTGACTCTGTCAATAAACTTGATAACCTTTCTACCCGTTTTACTCCTTTCAAAGCCGTCTAGATTATCTAGAAACACTGGAATAAATCGATCCTCGTTATATGGCGCCATCTCAATCAAAACCTTGACCCGGTCCACCAATTCCTTCAAGAGCGCCTCGTTGCCGCGCAAGGCCGTGCTCGGCAGCATGCGCAGCTCGAGGATCGGCCGCAGCGCCTCCCTGTCGTCGGCCTTGTTCTCGATAATGGCCTGCCACTGCAGGACGCCGTACTTCTCGTCCTCCACAATCGCGGCGAGGCTACTGAACTCGACGTACTCACCCTCCCAGTCAAAGCTGAAGCGGCGATCGCGGCCCTCGAGCCGCAGCACGCGCAGGTGCGGCCGGTCCGCCTCGTCCACCAGGTGCCGCACGGCCTCGGGCAACGCTCGCAGCGAGCCGACGTCGCCCGACAGGTAGCGCACGAGCGGGTTGCGCAAGCGGCAGAGCGAGGTGAGGACGATGGCGCCCGTCTCGCCGTCAGGCAGAGGAGGCGGTGGTGGTTGCGCCGCGGAAGAGGGGCCTCCCTCCTCCAAGACCGAGTCGGGTAAGATCTCAACAGCCATGGTGCGCGCATCGTAGACGAAGTCTGACGACGTCGTCGTGCCGCGACCCGTCAGCGCCGGGTTGCTCACGGCCCAAGGCCCGGCCTCGGCGCTGGCGAGCATGGAGCAGATCGCGACACCGTCGCCAAGCGTGGCGCGGATGTGAGCACGCTGCGCGCCTGTCAGCACCTCGGACGTGTAAATGATCTTGTCGAGGCGGATCCGGCCGCGGTCCTCCGCAGACAGCGCCAACATGTGGTTCACCAGGTTGATGATCTGGCTGCTGTCGCCGGCTAGCACGTTGGCCTGGTACTGCATCACGAGCCGCAACACCTCGGCCGGTCGCATGTGGTTTCCCGCGCCCAGGGCGCAGGCGCCGGCGCACTCAGACACTTCCATGATAAGGTCAAGGGCTCTACGGGAGAGGGCGAGCGTTTAGGAATTAGCAGCCTCCATAGCTTCGAGAGGAATGATGGGTTACCTGTACAGACCACCAGCAGAGTGCACAGTGACGACCCAGTCGCCGCGCTTCAAGATGCCGGTCCTTGCCAGAAGTTTGCCATATTCTGCTCGCTGGAGACGGTTCTCCTCCACGTCAGTGGCAAAGAAGAGTGGCTGTGCGCCTCTACCTCCGCCGGTGATGCTGGCATATATAGCCTGTCGGAATGTGTTTTGCGGGCTTGTGTCGTTGATGAGTCGCTGAATCTTTGAGTAGCTAGGGGGGCAGAGTTAGAAGCAGGGCATGAAAGATGTATGAGACGGACATGAAGGAGAGAAGAATATGTTATGGTATGCATCTCCGGTGTGCCTCTCTTACAGCGTCTTTTTGTGCAGCAGAGGCCAGGAGGCAAGCCCCCCTGACTGCCCATCAGCTTCACTCTGCTCGACAATGGTCTGTATGATGTCGATATCAGGCGGATAGGTCACGCTTTGATCATAAAAGCTATGCTTTTTGGCCACGGCCAGCACTGTGTGAAGCGAATACACCATGAAGCTTTTGTATGCCGCGATGCAATGAGAAGGCTGTGAGTACAATGGAGAGCGAGCAACCTGACGGAGAGCGACTACATGTATTTACTTTCTGGCGTTCTGCTTCATTACCAACCCGTGATGCGAAGTAAACTGGCTGGCATTAGTTAGCGCCGTGAAGGAGCTGGTGTACATGCCGGATGGGTTGCTGTGATTGTGGCTTGCGTAAACATGAGTGATGTGCCAATCACTTGAGTGCATCTCATGCAGATCCACCTTGGTCGTGAGACATACATATCGTCTTATACCAGCTGAAAGACGGGTAGACAAGAACACAGTCCATCGGCCGGCTGTGGTCGCGTTATGAACGCATTTCTCGTGTTTTCGTTTCTCACAGGCGTTAAAGATGCCCCCCCCCCACCCCCGCCCCGGAGAGGCGAGTCGCTGGTACCAAATAATCAGAGCAAAGCTGATACAAGTAGATAGCCCTGCCGATTCACTGCGGTGCCATTTGCCTTGGGCGGATCTGGTGACGCCCGTGTAGCAGTCAAGGTTGAGAGGGAGCAGATAGGGTAGGTAGATCAGCTCTTACCGCCTTGGCGCATGCGTGGAAACATCCCTGCAAGATGCTGGGAAAATAAGTCTGCAGCGGGAACCGGAAGTAGTCTTGATTCAGCGGCGATCGGCCAATGTCCGTCAAGAACATCGGGGCCGGCTCATCCCCGTCCTTTTTGCCGTCCCACCAAAGTACCTTGCAGGCAAAAATGCTGATTTCCATATTTGGCCGGTTTCCCTCTCTCCGAGCCTGGTTATGGAACAGAGGGGTTTACGGAACTTTTCGTTGGACTGGTAGCTGCAAGACAGACACAAGACTTATCTATAGTGAAGGATTTCGAGAAACCAGCAACGGCAAAAAAATATCGACTCATGAACGACAGGACCGCATTGAGAGTGTATTCTGCGAATCTTCCACATCCTTATTTGACACATGTTGTAACTCTTTTAGTGACGCGGTTTGATGAAAATGAGTTGGCATGCATGGCACCACATATTCAATTTATGAATGTCATCTCTTTTAGGAACATATTGCTGAAACATGCATGACATTAGCCTGCAGGTTCAATTTATGCCGGGTAAGCTACAAAAGAAAAACTCGTGGACTTGACCTATGTACAATGCCGCATCATTGTATGGGGCACAGCGAAAGTTTGCAGTCGGTCCACTCCTTGTCCAACCAATAAATGTAAAAAAGAAATCTCACTTGGAAGCTGGACCGAGACAGCGTCTCTCCTGTGAGTTTTCTCCGCCCTCAATCACTCTCCCCTGGAAAGGGAGCCGCGTCCCATCGGACTCGGCGCAAATGTCTCTCAGGGTCCCGGACGTGGTTGCGCGCATGCAGCCACCGCCTATTGTCAATCAGGATGATGGATCGAGCCGGCAGGTCCGTGGCCGACAGGTGGATGGTCGAGCCGACCTGTGCGGCCAGGGACTGTAGCGCCGCCTTGAGGTCCTGCAGCGCCGCCGCCGCCTCGTCGCTCAGCGGCGTGACGATGTCCTCTCGGAAGCGGATGAGCGTCGGTCGTCCCCTATTGTCGGCCATGATGAGGCCCCCGCGGATCCATCGCGTCGTCTCGCCCCCCGAGCCGCGCTGTTTCCCCTTGACAAACTCGGTCGGGATGGCGATGCGGTATGCGTCCGGTTTCATCAGCGTCGCCAGCGTGGCGCCGCATCGGCCGCCCCCGAGATGCTCCTCGACCAGTCGCTCCACGCTCATGAGCGACAGGGTCCCACCGCCGAAGCGGTCCGGCTGCAGCACCTGGAGGGCGAAGAAGCGAGGCGGCGGGTACTCGTAGCTGCAGTCGGTGTGCCAAGGAAAGTCCCGCATGGTCTCGGACCGCGCCTGGTGGTTGGCCGTCTGAAAGCTCGCACTGCTGGGACGCACCTCCCAGAACCAGCCGCGCGTGGCACTGTGGGCGATGGGGAGGTGATGGCCGTGCCGGGCATGCAGGCTCCGGATCAGCGCCTCGAGATATCTGCTCTCGTCGTCGGCGAATTCGAGCGTGACTTTGAGGATGCCGTCTTGCTGTAGGCGCTGGGCCACCTGACGGACATGGTCCGCATCTTGGCTACAAGAGATGTGAGGTGCTTTCAGATGAGGGACAACCAGCTGGGAGTATTCTCTGTCGGTATACAGGAGCCTCTGGTAGCCTGTGAATGGTGCCCCGCGAATCGTCGTCGTTTGCGCGGCCATGCGACTCAAGCCACGCATTGAGCGAGTTCGTAAAATGCCTCTGGCCAGTAAATCCATCTTGAGTCGCTTTGCTATGGCTTGGAATCTCACATCTCTGGTAGCCGTATCGCACTCTGTGTCTTTTATAGACCTAGATGCATCCCCCTTTCTCAGTCCATCATGCAACTATACGGGGCTGGAACTGGCTTGCCTGGGAAATCCTAAACTCCCTTGTCAATATTTTCTCATGTGAAACAACGATTCGGGACCAGATGTAATGTGACGGCACGTCGCACAAGTGCCACGGAGATCATCCCTATATTGAGTAACAATCGGGATGCTTTGGTCCATGTACTTGGCCTATGGAGCCAGGGTGGACGACTCTAGTGCAACCGGAACAGGTCAGCCGCGGCCCTCAGCGGGTAGTTCTGAGACCATGCAGATGCCGTTCTTGATTCTTCAGCTTCAAAGGCCAAAAAAGGCGAGTACCAGCTGGGGGCGAGACGCCACTGGTATGCCGATTATATTACGGCATGACGGTAACTAATGAGTCGGCCCAGGGGGGGGGGGGGGGGGGAAAATGAATCCTGAGTTTCAACGGTATACGACTCGTTTTTGCCAATAATATACTCACCACCCAACTTGGTCACCTGCCATTGACGTCCAAAACACCACCAACATGGCAACGCCGGTTGTTGAGCGGATGAAGCAAGTTCGCTTGGGTCTTGGGTCTGCTCTATGTGAATCCGTAACGAAAAACACCACCGAGCTCGCCGTCTTTACCCAGGAGCACGAGGCGCACGAAGAGATTCTGCTCGCCAAGTGCCCGCCGACATTATGGCCGCACGGCTCGTACCGCGCGAGCTGCCCCAGGCCGATTCTCATCTCCGAGAGCCACTGCAGGCAGCTCAAAGACTTGCATGGCGCATTGACGGCCGCCATGAACGACATTGTGTCGCGATGGTGGAGGGACAAGGCCGCCAACTTTCCGGCACGCATGCCACTGGAGGAGGAAGAGGAACAGCTGTTGCAGGTATGGCGGACATACAAAGTTGAGCGTAGAAGTACTTGCTCACAAAAGGATTCACAAAAGCTGATAATGACACGAATAGTGGCTTGATGAGCAGGAGGAGCTCGGCAACCTACCCAAATTCTCAACTCGTCAGGGCTCTTGGCGACCAGACTTTCTTGTTGAGGAAGTGCATCACGAGGACGGCTCCAAGACGGAAAACTTTCGTCTCTCAGAGATCAATGCCCGTTTCTGCTTCAATGGCTTCATGCACATTCTATACGGCAACTTGGCTCTGCAGGGTATGAACTTGAACGAGTGCGGTCTCTCCATTCCCGCAAATGGAGCAGAGGTGTGAATCATTTATTTCTTTGACGTTTGCTTTTCATGGTTATTTCTCTCCTTCCCACCTTGGAAAGGAAAAGTGAAACCTTTTATTTCTTCTCGTTTTCATATTTAACAACCAGACACATTCTTTCCTCTGACATGATGCGATTAGTTTTTCGACAGCCTTTTGGACATGTTCCGCCACGATCAGCCTCTCCATCTCCTCAAAGGTGAAGAAGACGGCATCGACATCGGCATGTTTATCCAAGCCGTACACGACCGGATCGGCACGGAGCCACGCCTCATTACGCCCACGGACCTGCGCCTAGTCGCGGATGAAACCACCGGCCGCACCAGGCTCTGCTGCTTGGCCACGCGCGGCGCCTCCAGCGACGGGGATGCATTCCGCACCGCCGAGGGGGAGGCCGTCGAGGAGATTCACCAAGTCGGCCTAGAGCTACACCAGCACGAGCTCGCGGCGCTGGGCGGCGAAATGCGGCGCCAGCTCGGCCTGCGCTGCTTCAACGATCTGCGCACGGTGCTGCTCGTCCACGACAAGCGCATGCTGGGCATCATCGGGCAGGAGTTGTGCAGCCTCGTCGCTCGCGGCGTCTTGACGCCCGCGCAAGCGGTGATCCTGGACAGGGGTGTGGCGCAGACCATCTTGCCGGGCTCGCCTGAGCTTCTGCGGCTGGCAGCCGGTGGGAACTGCGACGACACGACGAAAGATGGGTATCTTCTCAAGCCCGTGCGCTGCGGCAAAGGCGCCGGCATTGTCTTCGGCGAGGACATGACCGCGGAGGCATGGCGCTCCACGCTTAATGGGCTCCGCTCGACGGCGTCGCCAGACAGCGGTAGCATGGTGGTGCAGCGGCGCATCAAGCAGCAGCTATATGATGTGGTGCTCAAGAGGAATGACGGCAATGGCATGGGCGAGATGAAGCGGAACCACCTAGTCGGCACCTATCACGTTATAAATGGTCGTTATCTAGGCATTGGGATATGGCGTAGTAGTGCGGAACGCATCTGCGCTATTTCGACAGGAGGGTCGTGGATGTGCTCCGTCATCCGTTCCTAATACTTCTCGACTATTCTTTATCACCCTGTTGCCGAAAAAGGTTCAATAAATCCCGGCAACGGTGCACCGTAGCTGTGAGGATCTCACGTCAAGATTCTTGAGAACAGTTCTTGAAGGAAATGAACGAGTGACTAGGTCTATACTAGATTCTGGATACAAGACGTAGCGCAAGAAAGCAAGAGAACGAGAAAGCGTGGCTTCCAGATGCACGAAAGGAACATTATCGCATGGTCACGTGATACCGCGCCAGCTTCACATGGGATCCGTGACAGTACCATACGAGATTCTGGGATAGAACCTGGCCCGGTATTCGTGAGTTAGTCTATTTTGTGTACTAGTAGTCTGTAGTCCAGCATACGGTAAGGGTTGGATTGATTTAAATATTTCCCCCATTTTCAAGACATTTAGAAATCAGTGGCTTTTTAACACATCAGCAGTGGACAACGCTACAGTAGGTAGGTAGGTTGCTGTCGCTAATACGGGCACGTTACTCGTGGCTGCCCTCCACCCGTAAGGTTTAATGCGGTCGCCCTATACTAAGCGAGAACATACTAAGAATGGCCAGCGCTTAGTAAAAGGAGCGACCAAACAGCTAATCCTAATGTCCAGGCATACCGCTATAACATAAAAATAGTAGGAACATGTTACAGTGTTCAAGTCCACCTAGAGCCACTTTATAGAACGTGTAAAATGGAGGAGGATACTACAGAGAGCCGCGGTGGCTGTAGGGAGCATGCGTGTTGGCCGTTCCTGGCTGTCTAACCTCTACTTCTGCCTGATGACATCTACTAAGAAGCCAATAGCCTACATACAACGCCGCGGGGCTAGAAAGCTTATGGAATGATTCGTTGAAGGACGGAAATGTCCCTTACTCTTTAATGTACCTTCGTCTTCCTTGGTTTTACAGAGCACCTATTGCTACCCAGCAAACGCCTTGGCCCAGTAGCTTGGCGTAGTGCCAGGTAGGCATGTGAACGGAGAGGAGCCTCTGGCGCGTACTAAAAACATAGGGCCACTGCTGATTAGACGATCTGGTTGATGAACAGTGTGCAATTCTATGCCAAAGCAGCATTCCGGGGGTACTGCTCTCGTGTGTGCTTGTATCTGGCACGGACTTTGCGTCGAGGTACGACACATCGGGCTGGATACCTCCAGAGAATACATCGGTCACGGCATCACGGCTCCTGTCGAGCGATTCGTGCCCAGCTTTCCCGACGGCGGCGCACCGTTGGGCGGGTCTTCTGCCGACTAGCTCGGGCAAACCAAAACGGCGGTGCTTGAATACTGGGTCTTTCAATCTTTCCCTCGCCCGAGTCAATCTCTCTTCTCTCCTCGTCCAAGCAAGCACTGAAGCTATTCACAGCTTTCCAGGAGCAAGAAACTCTATCGAGAGTTTCCCGAATCAATAACAAGGGGCATCTGAACTCTGACCTGACGTGTGGAGAGACTGACTCGCGGCGAGCTTGTCAGTTGTCCGCCTCTTTGCTTGTTCTGCGGCTGAAGACTAGGATCGACAAGCTCGTGGGCCGCATAATTTCCCTCTGGCGCTGTCACTAGCCAGTCAGTCAGTCATTGGGCTGACCTTTGTATTTCTTCTTTTCTAACTGTTCCCGACCAGGACCAATCTGGTAGCCGTCACCGCCATCTCTTCGAGGCAGAAAAATATGTCGTCGTCTGCTGCGAGACGACTGACGCTCTCTGTCTTGGCTGGCGGCTGTCGGCATAGAGCCAGCCGCCTCGTCTGTTTGATGCCTCGATATGGCAACAGATGACTTACGGCTTCACCTCCTGCACCCCTTGAATGTAACCTTTTTTTCTTTTCTTTTCTAATTACAGCTATAACAACAGTCGCCTCCAAAATCTAGGCAGGAGCTATTTCCTAGCTTGTTGTTACCTTGTCCTGGGTGGCTGTCTGCTAGCGCGTTCAGCTCTCTGCAAGCCACCGCGAACAGTCCAACTTTGGCTGGGACAAGGCTTCCCGCGCAACCCACGTTTCTACTGTTTTCTGGTTGTTGGCAAGGCGTACCCAGGGGTCCTCGGAATCACGGTCCCACCCATGTAAGCTTCTATCATAGGCTCCCTCTATTGAGGCGAGGCGAGCTGTGCAGTAACTTAACTAACTTGTTGCCCAGCTTCTTACTACTGGGCGGGAACAGCCTCAGCCCCGGCCGGCCCAATACGGGGCCGGTCTCGTAGCTGACTGGGCTTTTTCATGTTTGGTTAATTAAACCATTTGACTTCTGTGGCGGGCTCGTTTTGTTTCGTTTTGTTTCCCTCCTCTTGTGTCTTGTCGCTGTTTGTTTCTTGTTTCTCCTCCTCTTTTCCCACGCCCATTATCACCACCCGGCTTCTATAATACGCCTCCTCCGGACTCAAATCGCGCTCGTTCGCAGATCTCTGAGACGATACAGCTTGGCAATAGCCTCTACCTGCCATCCCTGAACACCCCAACCCCCAGGAGACGACGGTTGCCATGAAGAGGAGCCTCACCGTCGCCGCGGCGGCTCTCACCGCCGTGACCGCGGCCCGGAACCTCGTCCGAATGGCATCCCAGCCCACCGTGCCGGCCATTTTCGCCCTCGACGGCTTCTCGCCCGCGCCCACCGAGCCTCCGTCACCCGAGCACGTCGCCGCGCGGGCCGACAGCACCTCCCCCGTGCTCTTCTACAACACCCTCAACACCTGCGGCTACATCTCCGGCGTCTCTGTCAACTCGTACTACTGCCTTAACAAGGACTACTACTGTGCCTACAGCACCTCGTCCGGTAATAACGTGGGACGCATCGCCTGCTGCGGCCCCAGCTCGTGCAACTTTCGCACGACGTGCGTCAACCAGGCCGACCTGAACACGGGATGCAACGAGGCGTGCCGCGACAACACTTACGTTGTCAAGTGGTAAGTCTGCAGGCAGTGCAAACCATCATCTCATACAGACAGGTCGTTGACAGCAGAAAAACTCTAGTACCGACTCAGCAGCTCCCTACTGCAACACCGTCTCCATTTCCGGCGGCGCCATCGACTATGCCTGCGGCATCTCCGACATCCGCACGTACCAGGTCATCCTCACCAGCTACTCCGGCCAGGTCAACCCGCAGACCTACTCGCGGTACACCATCACGGGGTCCGCCTCCGGCTCCTCCAAGTCGGGATCCGCCAGCGGCGCGCCACCAGTGTTCACCCCGGACAGCACCAGCACCGCGACCAGCACGACCACCAGCAGCACCGGCACCGCGCAGCCCACCGGAGGTAACAACCCCGGCAAGAGCGGCACGCCTGTCGGGGCCATCGTCGGCGGCGTCGTCGGCGGCGTCGGCGCCCTCGCGCTCGTCGGCATCGGCATCCTCCTCTTCTTCCGCAACAAGAAGAAGGACAACAATGCCCAGCAGAGCAACAGCCCCCCCGCGCCGCTCATGAGCCAGCCCCAGAACGGCACCGGCGCGCCCGGGCAGCCGCAGTACGCCGCCTCGTACCCGGACGGCACCTCCGCGGGATACCCGACCTCGCCCAGCACCGGAACCGGCCCGTACTATCCCCCTCCGCAGCAGGGCTCCCCCAACTACCCGTACAGCCAGCCGTCGGTCAGCCCCGTGAACAACTACGCGCCGCAGCAGTCGCCGTACGGTCAGCAGGGTTTTGGCCAGCAGCCGCCGTATCAGCAGGCCGGCTCACCGCCGCCGCCGCAGCAGCAGCAGCAGCAGTATGCCGCACCGGTGGCCGGCGCTGCCGCGGGTGCTGCCGCAGGAGCGGCGGCGCACAAGGACGCCGCCGTGTCTCCGACCGGTCCCGTGCATGAGGCGCCGACGGCCAACTCTGCCGGCCACCGCGGCGAGATGCAAGAACTGGAGTAGGTCTTGGACATGGGAAATGGGAATTTAATTTTTGGCGCACTCTGAGAGCATAAACTGAATGTGGGGGGTTTTCTAAAGTAAATAGTGCTTTGGGCGCACTGTTTTTGTACATCCAAATACCTGCATATGTTTGAGTTATAGATATTATTCTTATTTACTTGCCGTCTATTCAAAATGCTGCGTTGAGATCATGTTGGCTTAGGGTCTTGCGTAAATGTACAGCAAGTATGGTATCAATTAGCAAGGCAGCTATGCCAAACTTGCCTGGACGAGAAGCTGCAAGCTCGTGGCTCAACCTTTCGTCTTGCTGAGGATGAGACGGCTCTGCGCTCTCCTTTTTTATTTCCGGAGGACCCCAGACATTTTGGTTCATCAGGGCCATTGCCATTTCTATCTCGTCCTTGTAGGCGTCTCCATCAAGAAGGGTGGTGTTCCCGAACTTTCGCAGCTTACTCGGGGCTACGGCAGCCGGCCACGGTCTCAGCGTCTCTTGTTCGCGGGAGAAAGAATAGCTGGCAAATGACAGCTTCTTGTGCAGGCCGAGGAGAAAGAGGGAGGGCAAGGGCAGTCGGTCTGGAGACGGGGTCTCCAGATTTCTCAGGTGAAAGCCGGGCCGAACGGCTTGGCCATCGCAGCCTTCGAGGGGCGTTTGTGATGGTGTACGGAAACCATACTGGACAAGATCTGCAGCAGACAGCAAGGAATACGACGGGAAGCATCGATCTATCTGGGTATGGCGCTGTGGAATGACACTGTCTCAATCTGACACAGCCTGATGCGAGGCAACAGGTGCTACACGGATACATGGCATTAAAGTGCTGAAACTGTAGAAAACTAGACGATAATTCTATGTGCTGCTCTCCATTTCTGTCTTTGTTAGAGCACAATTTAGGACTTAATTCATTTGAATCTGGCAGCAGCTTTTAAAAAGGATACGCTCACAATTGCCTCCCCTCGTCATCCCCCTTCACACTGCGAATCCCCAAAGCTTGCCCAGTTAGTCGGTCGGAGCCGGCGCGGCCTCTGGGTCCCTCGCGAGAAGCGCCTCAAGCTTGGCGCCCCGTTCGCGTCTCTCGTCCAGCGAAATCTCCGTCTCCGGGGCCGAAGACCATCCCAGCCGCAGCTCCGGATATTGCAGCGGGACTTCCTCACTCTCGCGGGGCAACCCGTCCAGGTAGATCGGCCAGGGCTTGCCAAGCCAGCCGTTTCGGGACTCGTGGTCCCGACGCTGCTGCTTGGTCAAAGGATGAATCAAGACACTGCGATTTGGTGAGCGCCGTCATCTAGGCAAGGTGCAGATGGGGAAGAGCTAAAACTCACCTGAGGTCTCCGCGATTGCATGCCAGGTAAAAGAAGACGTCCGAGAATGAGGAGTCCGGCACCCAGACTAGGCCAAGAGTCAGTAAGTATGATATCTCTTGGTCGAGATTTTTCCTTGTCTCGGCGCTTACTCTCGTAGGATCCGGCGGGATGTGGCCCTATGGGATACTCATTGACCGAGTGCAGGGGCACCGCGACAAACGCGCCTGTGGATGACGGGTTAGTGGAGGAACCTGCAGACGGACACCTCCATCGTGCTCACCATCGCGACGAAGTCTTAGCACAGCGTCACGGAGCGCCAGGGCAGCGGCCTTTTCCGTCGGCGACTGGAGCAAAAAGTAAATGTGAAAGTGCCATTCCCGGGTCCGGCTCTGCACCACGGTCTGGAGGTCGTCCTGGGGAGTGGGCGTGACGGACTTGATTCGTGCCATTGAGAATGAAGTGTGTTTTTGCCGACAGAAACTTCAGGTGATGTGCCAAGTTTTTGATCTGGTGATGGAAAGTGGTGGGCGGGCGCCTTATCAGATGGGAGCACAAGAACTTTTGTGTTTGTAAGAGCACGCCACTTTTGGATGTGGTGGTGGTACGGAGTAGTTGGTGCGGGGTCCCCGGGATCGGCAACCGAGCATGGTCGTGGCACCAATGAAGATGAATTAATTCATACTGCTAATCAAACCCCGGATCCAAGGTACTGTATCTCGTATGTACGAGCGTCTTTTTTCAAGGGAGGGGGACACCCACAAGCCAGTTACAAGTGTCGAACAAGGACTCAAACCGCAAGTCCACGAGCGACACCTGGAACTAGGCAGCGAGAAAGAGCAAGACGATGACACAAAGATTCAGCATTCGGAACGTAATATCTACTGAAAATTATCTACAGTTTAACACTTTACCAGATCAGACCTACCTCCCTCCCCTCCCTCCCTCCAACCATCCCTGCGACACCGTCGGAAACTCCTCGGGCGTGTCCGTCCGCAGCTCAGTCCCAATCAAGTGATCAAACGACGGCGCGTCCCTCACCCTCGGGTTGTACGGCGCAAAGTTCCAGAGGTAGCCCAGCGTGCGGAGGATGGACGTCGCATGGTACGACACCGTCTTTCCGCACGCGTTGACTCCCCGCTGCTCGACCACCGGCGCCGCCCACGGCGACACCAGCCACGTCGGCATTCTCCCTCCGAGCCGGTCAAACGCGAACGTGTAGTCGCCGCCCGTCGGCGTCGTCTCCGTGTGCGTCAGGTTGTCCGGGCGGGGCGCCCGCGGCGGCGCCACGTGGTCGTGGAAGCCGCCCGTCTCGTCAAAGGTGATGACCCAGAGCGTCTCGTTCCACTGCGGGCTCGCCCGCAGCGCCTCGTACACGTCCTTGAGCAGCTGCTCGCCGTCCGACACCCGGCCCGTCGGGTGCATCGAGTTGGTGCCCTCGCCGCAGCACGACGGGTTGATGTAGGCCAGGTGCGGTAGCTGGCCCTTGCGCGCGTCCTCGTAGAACGAGTCCATGAAGACGACGCGGTGCGTGTTGTTGCTCGAGTATGTCCAGGTGAACCACCGAGCGTCCTGGATCGACGTGTCCACCAGGTAGTCCTTCCACTCCAGGCCTAGCTCCGTCACCTCCTGGAAGATGGACCGCTGCGTCATCGTGTTGTACTGGAAGTTGTTCTTGCCCTTGCCAGCCGAGGTGCCCGAGCACAGGGCCACGCGGTTAGGGTTGGTAGGCTGTCGTAAGGCTGTTTAAGCGTGATGGACGAAAAAGGAGGCGGGATGGGACATGGGGGTCGCGACTTACACCCGGGACGTCAGAGTGCCAGTGGTTGAAGACGACAAAGTTTTGCGTCAGCGCGGTAATGACTGGCACCTGGCTCTCCGTGTAGTAGTTGATGACCTGCGTCTGGAGAACTTCCTCCTTCTGCTTCTTGCCATAGAGCCGGATCTGCTCCGTGAGGAAGCCGCTCATGTTCGGCTGGAGCCTGCCCGCCTTGATCGCGGCATTGTCTGGCGTAAACGACCCGTAAAACTCGAGGTTGTTCCCGGAGATGGAGTGGTCCGGGTCATTGATGATGGAGTCAAAGTCAAGCGGCTCCGCGCAGCCGGTGCCCGACTCCGGCCGGCTGATGTTGAGCGGGTTGCAGTAGGGGCCGGCCTGAATCGGGTTCTCCAGGCCCGGCAGCGTCTGGCCGCCCAGCAGGTTGTCAAAGGAGCGGTTCTCCAGGACCATGATGACGACGTTCTTGATCTTGTCCTTGAGGTTCTTGATTGACTCTGGCGAGCCGGGACGGTGAGCACCGGGGAACTCAGTCGCCGCCGCCGCAGCGGCAGCCAGCAACACGAGGCTCTTCAATTGCATCTTGCAAGTCTTTTCTTGCTTGAATGGATAGGGGAGAGGAAGTCAAATCTCTTGTCTCCAGCTTCAGCAGGATGAAACTCAGTCATGTCCCAATCTCTCTAGTTTTATAAGCGATGTGCCCGCCATCTTATCCCCGTAGTCTACCATGCCGCTCTATCCACCAAGCCAATCACATCGTGTAGACTAAGCATGCATGATCGTCCGCGGCATCAAGAGTAAAGTGCAGTGGATACAGAAGCACCACCGGCACAAACTAGCGGTCACTTCACCGGCATAGAAATCATTGTGCTTATTTATTACTACTTCTATTGGACCCGATTGTTGTGCCGTGCCTTTCTGCAGCAAGGGTGTCGGGACATCAGCGGGGATCAGCCCACGCTACGGACACATTCTACACCGAACAATCCGACTGTTTATAAACAAAAAGACTTGGTTGGCCGACTATCTCCACGTTTCGAAGAGCAAGCCAAAGAACCCCTGCGACCTCATCAGCATTTCCCACGCGGCGGCAGGTTCTTCGTCGTCGCAACCCTGTCCCGGTAGGTCGCCTCCACAAACGCCACCAAGGCCTCCACGTCCGCCAAGACGGACGCGATGCCAAGCGATACGCGGATGGCCCCGATGGTCAGGCCGAGACCGTCCAGCGCACCTTCCAAGTCCCCGTTCGACTCGGCGCGGGCCCTCCCCACGCGGTCGAGCACGGCCGGCGTGATGCCGAGCGCCGCCGCGCCGGCCCCTGGGTTGCAAAAGCACCCCGTGCGCAGCGAGATGCCGGCCGCCGACGACTCGGCCGCCACGAGTCGCTCGTCGAAGACGACGCCGTCCCTATCGAGTACGTTGAAGCACACCGTGCCGCCGCGGCCCCACACCCCAACCGGCCCGTAGACCACCACCATCCCGCCCCCTCCGTCACCGTGCCTCAGCGCCCGGAGCTCGTCCAGCAGCCACCCCGTCAGGCAGCGCACCCGCGTCGCCACCACGTCCGGCCCGCCCACGCGCGCGACCCAGTCCAGCCCGACCGCCACGTCCGGGATCGACAAAAAGTCCACCGTGCCGTCCTCGAACGCCGCCGCGCCGTCCTCCGGGACGTGCCACGCACGGCGGCCGCTGCCCGTCGTCGCCGCCCGCACCGTGCCGCCCGCAAACCACGGCCTGCGCAGCCGCGCCAGCGCCTCCCGCCGCGCCACCAGGCACCCGACCCCCGTCGGCGCCCCGAACACCTTGTACCAGCTGACCGTGACGAAGTCCGGCCGCGGCCCTCCTGACGACGATGACAGGTCCAGCGTCGCCGTGGGCAGGTACGCGGCCGCGTCTAGTAGCACGTCGTACCCGCGGTCCTGCGCGAGGCCCACCCACGACAGCGGGTGCCGCACGCCGGTGAAGTTGCTCTGCGCCGGGTACGCGAAGAGGCCCCGCCGGCGCCCTCGCGCGCCGCCGGCGAACCCCTTCGCCGCGAGCCAGTCGGCCGGGGAGCAGCGGGACCCCTCTAACGCGGCCACGACGTCCGCCTCCCAGGTGCGAAGCTCGTCACCGTCGACGGGCACGTACACCGTGCGGGAGTTTCCGCGCCGGGCAAACTCGCGCAGGCCGTTGAGCGAGTTGTGATTATCGGCCGTCAGCACCAGCCGGGCGCCGCGACGCCAGGGGTACGACTCGCCGACGAGCCGCGCCGCGCCGGTCGCGTTCGGGGTGAAGATGACGGTGTACTCGTCTGCCGATGCGGAAAAGTAGCGCAGTATTCTGCTTCTGGTCTCCTCCACCAGGTCTGTGGTTGCCTGGCTGGTCGGGTTGACGGAATGGGGGTTTCCAAACGCCCCATGCCGCAACCGCTGGCGGTGCGCTTCGTGCTGCGAGTGGGCAGCCAAGCCGGCGCCAGTGTAGTCTAGGTATATGTGGTTGTTTTCATCGAGGAAAGAGTATTCCGTGGCTCGCAAGTCGTCTAGTAGCGTTGTCGATGCATACTCAGGATATCGGTCAAGAAACTCTTTGGCCCGCGGGCTTTGGTCCGTGCAAGACTCCTTTGATTGCATTTCTCTTCCCATGAAGCGTACTGAAACAGGTGCCTGATATTCTGTGTATCTGTTGATCACTGTGAGTAAAATGGTCAAGCAAGGCCAGAAACCTGCAAAGGCACTTACAAGGCGAACGAGGCAACAAATTATCTGAAGAGGCTACTAGTGAGAGCGGCTTCCATTGTATAGAATTATCATGTCCTGTTCTTTTCCCAGTTTCACTCACATTCGAAAAAGAAAAAAAGAAAGAAAATCTCACACCCGGCAATCCATAGCCTGTCGGTGATACCAGCGCGGCATGCCCAGTGGCAACCTGCAGTGTAAATAACTGTGGCTTGCAGGCTGACGGACCGGACCTCTTTGGGGCTGCTCCGTGACGGAGAATGCGGATACTGACAAGCCTCCTCTTACCTATCAGAAGCAAGGCAAGTCCGATGAGCTTTTTGCCTTGGGAGGATGCTCCACGCTGCAGCAGGGTGGGCCATCACGGAACAGCTGAAAGAAACCATGTCAAGACTACACACATGTGAAGGTTGTTGAGATGATGCTCCAGTGTAACCCACTTTGAACGCATCTGAGGGGATAGAGCAGGAAAATATCGAATACTGGAACATGTCATTCCCATATGATTTTTGATTCATCTGAAAGTAATTTTTATGCTACCGAAAATAGACGTTAAAACCCCCACACTCAATGCGGCCCAAAGAAATGGGGGGCTCCCTTTCTTCTTTCCCACCAAGAAGACTGAGAAAAGATTGCAGCAGACGCAAGCGACCAAAGACGAACAAAGTCCGAGCAAAACGCAAACAATGCATCCCCCAAGAAACCTTGGCGAAGAAAGAGCCTTGAAGGGCAGAGACGGAACGAATTCGGTCGACAATTGTGAACTGCCGGTCGGATGCGCGGACGCGCACCAACCTTTACCTGTAGCGCCAGAGGGACAGGGTGTTGTGGCGCTTCCAGGTCTTTCTGCGGCCAGCGCGGGTCTTGTTGTAGCGGTGACCCTTGTTGAGGCCGCGGGATTTCTTGCCGGTGGCGGTGAGGCCGCGGGCCTCGCGGTGCTTGTGGACGGGGTTGACGATCCAGTTGATGCGGGGGTCGATGCGGATGGCCTTGTGCTGGGGGTCGACCAGGATGACCTCGTAGTACTTGTAGGTCGAGTCCTGGTTCACCCAGTACGAGTTGAGGACGCGCAAGTTGGCGCAGCGGCGGCCGACACGCTCCTCAGCGGTGGCCGCGAGGGAGCGCTGGTACTTGAGCTGGTTCACACCCATGTTGGTGGGCTTGCCTGTAGAGGGAATCCCGTTAGCACGCCGTTGCATCCTGCAGCTAGTTGCTCGCCAGGGAGGGGGGGGGGGTTCTTACCGAAAGGGCTTCTTGCGGCCACCACGGCGGACGCGGACGCGGTAGATGACGTAGCCCTGCTTGGCCTTGTAGCCGAGACGGCGGGCCTTATCGGGGCGAGAAGGGCGCGAGGCGCGGTGGATGACGTTCAACTGACGGAGCTATATTGATGCAGTCTCAGCATAATGTTCAACGACTGTATAGCAGAAGCGACATGACGTCGGGTATGGGCTGATCGAGCAGGGACGGTATGCAAAGGTAGGACACATGCAATCCAATCAGCCGGAGAGCTAGCCCCTAGTCCTTTCCAACCATCGATGCAAGAGTTTTTCCAGCTCATATCCGTCGACAGAGGATCGCCCACAACAGCGACGGGGGAAAAACAAGACGGGTATTGGAATCGAGGCGGTGCGTATATAAAAACGACACATGTCGTTGACGGGGTTTAACGTACTTCCCAGCAGCGAACGCGGAGAAGGAAGCGCATCACATCGGACTGCTTCTTCTTCTGAAGTTCCTCGACATACTTGAGGGCACCCATTTTTGCTATATCACAACGTTAGCAACGCAAGGGACAGCAGGTCCGCGACGCCGGAAATAGTCAATCGCAAGGCGCTCTCGTCCGATTAATATGATTGATTCGTATTATCGAGCAGAAGTTCGAGACGATTGAGGCGTGCTGAAGAGTAAAGACGTACCGGCTTATGTGGTGATGATGTTCCTGCCGAGGGTTAGTAGAGCGATAACGAAGGAGGAAATTCAAAAAGGCTGCGCCAGTGTGACAGGAAAAGTGCAACTCGAAAATTGAGAGCAGTGTGTGGGCTAAGCGATGCGCTAGGCTGCTTTTGATTCTAGCACCCTAGCGCTTGCCCCTCCTTGCCCTCTTGCCCTGCTTACTCAGCTATCCTTAGGTAATGCAACTTGATTGGCGGCCCGTGGAGCCAGCCTTGCACAAAAGAGTAACTGCTCTTGTGCCAATCTAGATTGGATAAAAACGGTGAAGCTATGAAATTGTACTAACATATCCATTATGCATTACTTGGAGCAGCGACCCGAACCCATCTACATCAACCCAAAGCAAAGACTCCCATGTGTAGCCAGCCATCATAGAACACGATTCTCCCAAATACTTCCCGACATATGAGCCTCCCTCGTCACCAAAATCTAAAAAGTTTCCTTCAATGTGCGGCCGTAGACATCAACCAACTGCGCCGCTGCGGCTCCCCACGTCGCCGCGCCCTTGGGCGTCGCCTCGTCCAGAATCTCCAGGGCAATCTGCGCCAGATCCTGGTCATCGGCGCCTGCTTGTGGCTCCGTCAGCGCGGGACAACCGGTCGGGGCCAGGTGTCCCTCCGTGACCTGACGGGCGAGCCTCTTGACCCTGGCGTTAAGCGCGGTAAGGTCGACCACGTCCTGTCGCCAGCGCATCCATCTCGGCTCCGCGGGTCCGGACGACGACGCACGGTGGACGGCGTCTGTGGAGGTAGCCTCGTAGCGTGCCGTGAGAGATCGGAATCGCTGCAGAGCCCGCTTGGCCTCCTCAAAGGCCTCGCAGCCGGCGATGGGGTCGGGCGAGTGCAAGGCGGACTCGACCGCGAGCGAACCGGCAAGATGCCCGTCTGCCCTACCCCGGCGGCTGTCTCTGCAGACCACTTGGTTAGCGCGTAGACTCGGAAAATGGAATCACGGGTTTGACACCATACGTAGATCCACTGCGCTGGCCCTCAATCTCAAGAGCCACCTCGTCGCCCTTTGCACAAATCTGAGTGATGGCATCGATTGCTCCTTTTCGACCTTTCTTTGCCGATTCGATGACACCTTGCACACTTGAGCTGCCGTTAGTATGTTTTGAAAGAGATAAAAGTAGCATATGTGGTCTTACCCAGCTTTTTTAGTAGGGCTGCGATCCCGGGTAGGTCGTGTAGTCTTTGTAGTACTGGGCCGTTTGGCGTGGTTCTGTTGATTAGAATCGACTGAATCTATGGATAAGATGGTTATCGTAGTTAGTAGACTAAAATTAAACCTGCGGCGGCTATTTGCGTGGAGTGCGGTCGTGAAAGGTAGGTTTACCGGCCGTTGCTCGAGCTCGTTTGCGTGAGCTCGTTTGTGCCATCCTGCGTTTACGCAGAACTGGGCACTGATGGTTCTGAACAGTCCTCCCCAGGCCGCAAACCGAGACTTTCGAACTCCCCAGTCGACCAAACCGGTCAGAGATGCAGTTGTATTGGTGGTCTCACGTTAACCTGTGAAATATGTTTGCGATTGGTACAATGTCGACTGGGCAGCTGGCAGCTGTCGACAGTCAGAACAAACAGCCACACGTGATGCGATCAGAATAGAAAAAATGACCGAGCATTTTTCACTGCACAAGCAATGGTTTGGAAAATATAATCAATTCCGGCACCAGCGTGCCCGCTATACACAACCAGTATTGACGGTTAATCCGTCTGTTCTGATTACTCTAGTTTGGCGGCCCTGCATGGCTGCACATTGATCTGTCATAAAGTGCCGCCCAAGGGGGCTCGCCAAATAAACTCTCCAATACCCTAACCTCCATTCTTTATCTATAATTTCTTAGAGCCCTTTGTAAAAAGAATAAAAAAAAAGCAAGAAACGCAAGAAAGCAAAGTAAGAAGTAGTGACACAAGGAATTCAAGAATAAAATGAAAACAACGTCGTATCTGTTCTCCATCTCAATCTTTCCGATAGAGTCCTTATATCCCGAATTTCCAGTAACAGATTCATCTGGCCCATGTGCTGTCTGGGCCAGAATAGTCGCATGCGACCACAACGTGGTAGCCTTGCAAGGGGAAAAAACGCAGCAAATTGAAAGCGGCGAGAGAGCACAAGAGGCGTGGGCAAACAAAAAAGGTATTGAAAAAATCCGCGCGCCGAAAGTTGAGTCTTAGCGAAATGAATGATCCAAATGTCTTTGTCCAGCAGATTAAAAGTTGTCAGACGCCGTCCCAAACCAAATTTCCCATTTGTAATACTGCTTTGCAAGTCGTATGTCCGTGTCTTCCCCATGCCATCCTGTCTTTTTTAGTTTCGAAATTTTGTCTTTCACATATGTAAATATCATTCATGCTTGGCCGTGATGGGAGAAAAATGCGAATATTGCTGACAACAAGGTACACAATTCGAATCCCAGTCTTCGCCTGTGCTCGAGATTGCTATTAATGAGTGTTGAGGGAAAGTCCCTGGAAAGCGGTGGCCCAATCACCCTGAGAGGAGATGGGCGAACCGCGTTGCAAGTGATGAGGCGGGGCACCTTCGGGCTGCCCAGGCTGGAAGCGCCGCTGCGATGTTTGAAAGTCTCCGGGATGCTGGAATCCAGCGGGGACTCCTTCCATGCCAGGGGAGGGACTGACGTGATAAGGACCTTGGGGTGGCCTGGCATTCCCAAATGCGCCTGTAGGGCCAAATGCGTAGTTGGAGTTGGGGAAGCCAGTAGCAGACACGGGAGACACATGACGGTCCATTCCCATGGGCGGCTGATTGTAACCACCAGGGCCGGCGCGCAGACCACGGCCCTGAGGACCGGGGGAGATGGCTTGCGTGGGGTGAACAGGTGGCAGCTGTTGCTGGTCATGCTGATGCGTGTTTCCTCTGCGATCACCGGCGGTCGAAGCTCTGCCTTGATTAACTGCGCCGGGTCCTACTCCGCTGGGTGCCTGGATGCCCAACGTCGGGCTCGCAAACGAAGCCGGGTTAATAGCCGACATCCAAATTCGTGTCTTGTAGATCTTGAACAAGTCGGTTACCAGAGAGTTGAAATTGATGTAGGCGTCGGCAAAGTAATAAAACGTAAGCTTCTTCCAGTCCATCTGGAACTCGGCGTCGAGAATCTCCATGTTAAGTCCGTGCTCCTTGACTTTCTGCATACAGACTCTCTTTGCTTTGGCCTCTTGGCCCTCTTTGTCCCTGAGGGCGTGCACCTCATGGTTCTGAGCAAGACGCTTAATAAGCTTCGGGCGAATCTCGCCGTTGGCAGGCTCTTGCATGTGATGCTGGCCTGCTGGGCCCATGCCTCCCACGGCGCTACCTGGCAAGCCATGGGCAGCGGACAGCATCCCGCCGTTACCCTCTTGGGCGGCCGCAGCGCCTTGAGAATACATCATGAGCCACTTGTATTGCTCCTCTGCGTAGTGCTCCTTGAGATCCTTGGCAGTTTGCCAGTCCACATTGTCTTTTGCGACAGTACCTAAATCAGTCCCTCGATCGGCTTCAACAATCACGAGGTCGCCAGGCTTCACGGTTAAACCGGTTCCTTCCTGAATATAGAATACATCCGCCCTGGCGCATTTGAAAAGAACGACATGTAGCAACTGGTTGAGACGGGGCGGGGCTATGCCGTACATGTTGTGACGGGGCGATGGAGGGCGGTTCTGAAACTGATTCTGTGGAGCAAACTGGCCTGCAAATGGGTTGGTGAAGCTGCTCTGCATCGAATTGCTTAGGCTATTGGCGTGTGTTAGCATGGGATTGTTGGAACCCAACATAGCAGCAGGGTCCTGAAAGCCGCCTGCATAATGCGCGCTCTGTTGGTCGGCCTGGGCCGCCTCGAGAGTTGCAACAGAGTCCGCGATAGAGCTTATGGACCCCTGTCGAGTGGGCATATTGGCAAAAGAGTGTCGCCGGCTCTGCGAGGCATCGCCTACCAGATAACCCGGCGAACTGGACCATAGTGCCTTTGTGAGCTGGGGGTTTTCCAGCTTGCGAGCTTCCATGCCATGAGGGGTGCGATAAGTGGGAGGGCCATATTCGCTCATACGACGCTGCGACACGCGGCGCCCCATAGGGTCCTTGGGGTCATGGGATTCATCGAGCTCGTCGATGGCGTAGTCGGACTCTTCGAGGACAACTTCATGGAGGGGATGTCCGGCAGCTAGATAGGACGCGCCGGTCGAGGCTCGAGGCCGAATGCGGGAATAGCCATGCTGCTGGCGCAGCAACGCATTTTCTCGGGTGAGCATTTCAATAGTCTTGGATTCAGCGGTCTGATGAAACGAATTCTGAAGCGACTCGCCACCACTCTCTTCCTCATCGTCTTCCACCTCCTTGACCTTGCCGAGGACGGATCCGTCGTTGGACATTTCGCTTAGCATGCTAGGGCGAGAGGGGCGATGCTGAAGAGCTGGGTGATGTCTCGCGCGACCAAGAATTGCAGAGGAGCTCATGCCCGAGGAAGTCGGCGCATCAAGATCCCTCTGACCCACCGAATATGATTGTGATCGGTACGTTTTGGGGGTTGGGTGGAGCGGTATGGCGAACGGAATCTGGCTATTCTGCTGTTCTCGCGATGGAGAGGTCTGCGACAGCCCGGAATCGGGACCGAAGAACGAGTTGCCAGCACTGCCAGGAGGCACGATCGACGTAGGCGACGGTAACACCTCAGTCAGCCGAGACGGGGGGTCCTTTCGATCGCTGTTCCATATACCTGTGCCCCAGGGGAATGACGAAGCACCTGGAGGTCGAGGCATGGCGGATGAGGCTGAATGAGAGCCCCAGGGTCCAACGGTATTGTCTGCCGATGGTGTAGAAGGGTGCGAGGCGTTGGGAGAGGAGACAGAATTGCTGGCAAATGAGCCTTGACGGGGACGAGCCAAAGGTTGCGAGGTATCGTTCAACCACGAAGACCTGCGAACTGGTTTATGGGGTTGTGTAGCAACGGATGAGGTGTCCTGACGATGATCGCCTTCGTCCTCTGAGCTTGCCAGCGCGTCCGAGTCTGGGGTGGACGTTCGGACTCCGACCTTTTCTAGCAGCAGGTTCTGACTGCCAGGGCCGTGCGACAGCTTACCAGATTGATTCGGCTTGATGCCACTGCTCATCGTAGACGCGACAACGCACGATGCGGATGTTTGCGACAGCGGTGGCTTGGTAAACGCAAGTATAAGCTAGGCCGGCTATATAGCGGTCGTCGGTTGCCTGAAAGCGCCAGGGCCGCCTGGTGGCATGGAAAAGGAAGACTTGGTGGTCAGGTGGTGATGTGCAAAAGCAGCCCAACGCGCAGTGGCATGTGTGAGGCTGGCCTTTGGGTGAGAAGATTTGCTGACAAGGTGGGAAGTAAGGGGCGGACGGCTGGAGGGTCGAGAGAGCTGGCGTCGCGGGCGGTGGATTAATGGTATATGCAAATCGGGAGGGGTAAAGGCGTCTAAAAGCTGATGCGTGTTCTAGTTGAAGTGCGGATATAGATTGTGGCGTATAGTAAGGCGCATAAGAACGAGGCGACGGAAACAGGCGCCCATGCAGAGAGGCACGAGGGGAGGCCGGGTGCGAATGCGGCGCGTCGAGCGGTGCGGGACTGGTACAAAGAGGAGGCTCTAGTCGGCCGGCATAGTCTGGCGACCAAGGAAGCTGGGCAGTGAAGGCGATAATTGGTTTGTGCGCCGCAGAGAATATTGCGCGACGTCGGAGGCGGCCTGGTCGCGGGTAACGGATCGACGCCTGGGAAGAAAGTTGGGCGGGTGCGGGAGGCGTTTGAGAGTGGCGAACGGAGAGAAACCGCGACGGGTAAGAAAAGGCGTTGTGTCTTGCGATGAGAGAGGAAGATACAAGAAATGAAACGGGCGGCGACGATGAAGATGATGATGATGGAGGAAGAGATGTCTGTGGAATGAATGAGTACGAGGCGTGGAAAGCGGGGGAGACGGGACGAAAGCTGCGACAAGAGGAGGACGAGGGCAGTGGATGGATGGTCAATGTGAGCGAGGCAGCGAGGCTACCTTGGGAGAGGGCAGAGAAGCAGAGGAGCTGGTGGGCAAGACGGATTGAGCTGCTGTGAAAAAAAAATGGGGGCGGACAGCCCAGAACAAGTGGAGGCGAGGCCGTGGTAGAGGACGAGCGGTGCGGTGCTGGTGCTGAGTGTGCTAAAAGGTAGCACCGAACAGGGTTAGCGTTTTAGTGGCTGGGGGTGGCTTTTTAGGGGAGGGGGGCCTTCTATATTCGTAGGGTTAGCAAGAGCCCGGTGCTGGAAGAGCAGGAGCAGAAGGAGCAGGAGGAGGAAGGCGGGGGGCGGTTTGGAAGGAACGCGGGCCAAGCAAGACAAGGAGCCTCCCTACACAGGTACGCACGAAGAAGCAATAGCTGCCACTGTTGAGAAATGCGGCAGAAATGAAGGATAAGAACATTTGTCTGCCTACATGTTACCTTGATGATTGCTCAGACAGATAATATTCTTCTTTTTCCATCAGCTTCATCGTCTGTCGCTGTTTGCAGAGGAGTAAAAGTTGTACCTCCCAAAGACTGGCACCAATAGCACTGGCTTCCTTTGGGGCAAATCGGGCTGGTGGATGCTAACTGCCCAGTCTCAACTGGGGTTGGTCCGCTGTCACAGACGCTGTCCCACCTGGCCACGGCCGGCTGTTTTTAGCGCCTGGACCACCATGTGGATGTCCACCCTCTGGTACCTCCACCACCTTGCCAGAGCAGCAAGAAACAGCAACAAGGCTTGGCGATCCCGCGAAATAGCTTTTCAGACAAGGAGGGTCTTAATCATAATCAAGCCAGCCCGTTTTTTGTAGCTGGCAGGCGACCTCCTGAATTCCAACGAGTACTGAGTAGGTATGATGATTGATGCAGAGTAGAGGCTGTCTTGCTGGTGACTGGCTGCCAACGTCTCTACGGCTTCGCCGTCTTCTCTGTCTGCATGCCATGGTAGGTTGCTTCCTGCCTCGCGGTATGTCCCGTGTATCACTACGGTTATCCATACAGAATCCATCATCTGCTCATCTGATTTTGTAGTGAGATATGATTCTCCCGATAAAATGACCGGCCTCAGCGACGGAACATGCCATGCGCCGCACAAAATCTGCTTCTCATGAGCCGCCTCGAATTGTCTGCCACGCCAAAACCTTACCAGCGATGTTCACCCTTGCAGTCTAGTCGGCAGGCGGCGCTCGGTTCCTACCATCCAAGATATCCAGAGCTCCCCCCTCCGCTGCGTTGCATCCGTCGCGAATCGGCAGGGTTGTGGCCCATGTCCAAGACTCCTAATCCACAAAGCCATGACTGGCTGTATGCAAGGCAACGCCGCCATCCACACCACACCACCCTACATAATTTTCAATGGCGCGACGCACGACACCAGGTTTTGGAGGGCCGGGGAGAACAACAAGCCACCAGCTGCCGCCTAGCGGAGGCGAAATCCTGCATCCGTACCAGTTCAGTGCTCCACGACGAACGGAGTCAAGGCTCAGCCCGCGAGCCTGCACCTGTCAACAAGGAACCTACAAGAGGCTGATAACTATGTTGAACTCCTGTACGGGTAATAATGGGATGCAGCTTACCGTGCCGCGGTGCTGCATGTCAAGGTATAGCGTGATGCTGCTTGTAATTCGCTAACTAAAGAACTAGTGCGCTATTGACACAAACCACAGATTCGCTGTTCCTCGCCCTGGTAGCTACCAGGCCTTTCCTCGCTTATATAATTATTGCGATGATGGTGGGCATTTCCCGTGTGCCTGATACCTAGTTAACTGCTGGTCGATGGCCTATGGTCTACGGATTACGGAGCAGGAAGGTCTTGCTCCAATGCAATGCGGCAGTCGCATCTCGCGTCCAGCTAGCACTCTAATATGGAATATGCTCCGAGCCTTCGAGCCTAGACAATGGCCAAGGAGGTTGCGAGTTCCTCGCTTCCCAGTCCGCATCCAACTACCATTGGGTAGGGCACGCTGTCTCTCAACCTCGTACCTACCTCCAAACTTTGCAGCACAGAGATGGAGAAAACGCCTCGAGGATGAACTCAAGGACGCGGAAAATTTAGGTCTGGGACATTCGGCTCTGCCCTGTTCAGTCTGTCTGCATAACACAAGTATGGCAGGGGGCTACAGTTGACCGCTCAGTTCGCATAACCCTTCCCGCCCAAGTTGGCTGAACTGCCTCCAACATACCCGGTACGAGCTAGGCACCGCAATATCTCACCTACAATGCCTACTGGTAGTCATCTATTCTACGTCGCATGGGTTATGGGGCACCAAGCACTGGTGAGCCCACAATGCTGAAGGGGGTACCCTCATTTTACTCAGTGCAGTTGCCCTGCAGGTGAGTGTGACATTCGTCTTCTACCAACACAGAGCATAGCAGAGTTATATAATTACTAGGGGGCCAGGTACACAAATCAATATGGAGCAACTGCTGTCAGTGCCTCTTTTGACCATGCGAAAACAAAAGACACGGGCTTAGACATGGTGTGTCCTGTGCCTGTTTTACACTGCGAAACATGGATCGACCCGCACCAAGAACCTGTGCCAGCGAGACCAACCCAACTGGTTGGGCTTGCGGGATTCCACTAAGCATTTGATATTGCACTAGACCTGGCTTTGGCAAACTTACTTAGCAAACATCAATGTTAACTATCCTATCCACCCCAGCAAATGTTGTCACCTTGGCTGCTAGCAGATTCTGTGGGTGAAAGTATCAAGACAGCACGAGGACACATGCTTTGCTGCTCAGTACGGATGCATGCATGACGATGGCCTTCTGTGGGGCTACTTTGAAAAGAATTCCGCGCAAGTGACATGAGGTGTTATTCGGTAGGTGCAAATTTCGACCTAGATCTGCCGCACCACGCTCTCACCGAGAGTCGGCCTGCATATTGAATGATGTATCCATCTCACACGATGTATGTATGCGCCTGCAAGCTTGGACGTTGCTATATGCCCTATATCATACGTGGCACTGTAGCAGCTTCGCCCAACTCGGATTTAGGAATTTTACCGACAGCTGGACTGGTTACCAGGATTCATGCCGTCCCCTCATCAACGAGATAGACTGGCAATTAACAGCCACGCCCGGCTGACAAGTCTGGGGCAGATCGCCGTCACCCCGCAAAATCGCCCACTGCTCCAAAACCCCGCGCTACCCACGCCTCACCCAGCCATGGCCGTTGAGCCAGTCAGGTGGTCCCGAACTGAGGTCTGGTGACAATGCTATCAAACTATAAAGCCACATTTCTTTTTAGTCAGCTGCAACAAGCATTGATTTCGATGCCGTTCTGGTTGGTCCTGCACGTTCTGGCTCAATGCAGACCCACCTGGTATGCGGGCAACTTCAAGTCCGCGTAAATTGTCCGATAGTATAGCGAGGCATATGCGTCACCAATGACAAGCCGTGACGAGACGCTGGAAAGAATGTCATCTTGCATCAAGTGTAGCTGTAGCGGGTAATTAGGACGTAGAGGGACAAGGAGACCGCGTAGTCTGAGGCGCTACTCTCTTCGTTCTCGGCCGAGTGTATTCATTCGTGGAACTGCTCGGGGATTCATATCGGTGCAAGACGAGCAATAGCTCGGGTACTGCGGGGTTCAAACTCAAATTAGGCCCAGCTCTCATCTTTAAGCTCTGACAGCTGTCTTGAAGCGGGCTGATTCATCTTGGCAGACCCGGCATTATGAGAACTGTAAGGCTGATTTGCTTCGGCTGAGATCATACGGAACGCATGGAGCCAAATGCCAAGTTTAATGAAGGAGCAGTAGATATTCGATCGGGTTTCCTAAGTTTTGACGGCTTGGAAACTTGCAGTGATTGAGGGACCCGCGACAAAATAAAGCCGTAGAAAGAAAAGGAGGCAGATGGCATTAAATTACATCAGTGAATGTACTCCTTGATGGGTACAGCCTCATTAGGGGGGATATTTACTTCGTCAAAAATTGCCTAGAACGATGCCTCTAGGAGTTATAGTACAATGTCAAATAAATCTATAGTGAAAGCTTTGCCGGCCCGTGTTGTTGCCTGTTCTTCCTCCTGGTCCTGCCTCTTTGAGTTTATGCACTTTGAGCTACACCCTTTGACTGCTTCAGCTTCTCCTCAAACTTGGCGAATTCTTGCATGGAAATCTGCTCCTCTTCGTCGAGGATCTGGCGAACACCCTTGACCTCCTCAATCTGCGTCAATGTTAGCGGCTGCATAGACGGACAGTTTGGCGGGATTAAAGCTTACATAATGCATCAACATGCCCTCGATGCCATTCTTCAGCGTTACCGTACTCGAGTCGCAGGTGCGGCAAGCGCCGCGGAGCTTCAGGTTGACGAAGCCCTCCTCGTCAAAGCCACGAAACTCGATATCGCCGCCGTCCTCCTGGATAGCCGGCCTGATCCTCGTCTCCAGCAGCTCCTTGATCATGCCGACAACCTCGTCGTCGTCCTCGTTGTACGCCAAGCTGTCAACCGCTTCCTCCGCGGCGGCACCCTCCGAGCCGGCCGGGCCAGCCTCCTTGACGGTGACGATGGCCTCACCGGCGGTGACGGCCTCGGTGATGAGGGCGAAGACCTCCGGGCGGATGTGGGCCCAGTTGGCATCGCCGGCCTTTGTGACGGTGATGAAGTCAGCGCCGTAGAAGACGGACGTGACGCCGTCAATATTCATAAGCTTGGCGGCGAGCGGCGACGGGTGCGGCAGCGAGATGGTGGCGCGCGGGCTGAGGTACTCGACGAACGGCGCGGCGAAGCCCTCGGGGAGCACGCGGTGGTTGGGGAGGAACTTGAGAGCGTCGCCGTTGGGCGTCGGCTCGGTCTGGATGAAGATGGTGCGGCGCGCGGCGGCGCTCGGGTGTCGTCGGGGCTGGCGGGCCAGGGCTTGGGCTTGCGGACGGGTGTTGTTGAGCGATCGTGATGACGAGACCATGCTGACGCTACCGCTAAAGGAGCGCGCGGAGCAGGCCTGTGAGGCAGCGGCGGCGCGCAGGCCCCGGCGCATCTGCATTGGACATGTCGCCACGGGCCGAGAGGTAGCCGAGCGGAGGAGCGCGCGGGCGAAGACGGACCGCGACGGCGTGGAAGCGGCGGCCATTGTGATGTGCGGTGCAGGGCGACGTCAGGTGGGCGAGTTTCGAGGCAGAAAATTCGCTAGGTTAAGTAGATTGAAATATTCAGGTTGGTACTTCGCGATGCGCCTGGTGAAGTGGGCTTGGCTGCTTTGCGTCTGCATAGCATGGGGGCAAAAGTCCACTATGAGAGGAAAAAAAGTTGAGGGCGTATAATCGAGAACTCATTAGTAATGGTGGAGCTATGATGCAAGACCCGATATTCGGGGTACAGCCGAGCTATGTGGTTAGATGGTCCTCAGCTCCGAGAGGAGCGGAGCTCCTTGGTGGACTCATGTTTTCTTTATTTTTTCGTCATTTGACAGCAACAGAGCAATCCCAGCATTCAAGGACAGCTTTGGCAGAAGCTCAATTAAAACCCAAGCCCGCATTGTACTACGTGTATTTATTTTCATCCCCCCCGCCGATTCTGCAGTGTAGAACTCTTCATTCTTCATTCAGTTCCCGTCTTCGGTAGGGGCAGCCCTCCAAACGACCATCAGCCATGTCTTCACCCAGCGACACCAAGCCGACAGAGCAGATCGAATCAACACAGTCTGCGGCCGATCAGGCACCCAAATCAATATGCGGTGTCTGCGAAAAAGCGGCGCCTAAATACAAATGCCCCAGATGCTTCCTACCATAGTATGTTACAAGAGTTGAACTCGAGTCTCGCGCGTGCCGTTCTCCTGCGCGTTTGTGGGCCTCGGGAGAGAGCACGAGAGTGTCTGCTTACTATCTCTTAATTACGAAGCTGCTCCGTGGCTTGCAATAAAGTACATCGCGAGAACCACCCGCCGGACCCCGAACCAAAGCCCGAGCCGCCGCAGGCCCCCGCCCCCGAGGCGCCACCTCCCACCACCGCGACGAGCGCCTCCGACAAGAGCAACCCCTTCCGCGTCCTCGATCTGGCCTCCGAACAGCTGCAGCTGCTCTTCACTAGGTACCCCAACCTGCCGCAGCAGCTCGTCGACATCCACGCCGCCATGCAGCCACCATCCGAGTCCGCGGATCATAATGGCATCCCAGCCTCGCTGCTCAAGGGGCTACCGGGCAAGAAGGAAAGGTGGAACCACGACGTGGGCATCAAGAAAGGAAAGGAGGCTCTGCGCAAGGCCCGCAAAGCAGACGGCGCCTTGGGCGAGGGCGTCAAGGAATACTGCGAGCTCATCATGCACCTGATGAATGGGCAGGCTGGCGACGACGCCTCGGTGTTGCTGCAGAAGCAGGCCGCCACGCAGGACGCGGAACTCATTGAACGATTGATGAACGAGGAGAACAAGAGGTAAAGGACAGGGGAAAAAGAGGGCTGGAAACGGCCCGGTATATTATTTGCTTCCGAATCATGTGGGGGTATCGACTAAAAGTATATCTGGCGCCAGCTCAAAATTGCTCCCACTCCTATCCCAAGCGTCATTATCACGTACATCATCCAATTTCATACACAGCAGACGGCGGCAAATTACCGTCTGAATCGAGCAAACAAGGCTGCGATGGGAGATTTCGGCAGCTCCAGACCATCAGCGGGTGGCGAGGGGGTCTTTTCCTCCTTATTTCTATGGAAGCTGTTGAGACGACCGCGAAACTTCCATCTCGACTCGCCTTTGGTGCTTTGGGTCGGTGAGGTAGACTTAGGCCGCGGCGGCGGTGTGGCGGTCGCCTCGTCACTCTGGGTCCAATCTACTCGGTGAGCCTCGGCGACGGCGGCCAGGTCCGTGGGGTTCAGCGGCGGAGCGAACACGGATTGCCTAGGGGATGACGACGAGTCTCCGCCTAGGAAGCTGCCGGTGCTCTTCCTGCGAGACGCGCGGAGCTGCTTCTCCTCAGAGGTGTGCGCGGTGTAGATGCTGCGACGCTTGAACAGAGTCGGGGACGTGATGACGGGCTCGAGGTTGTCGGGCATGGAGGAGGCCTGGAACTGGTTGCGGTCGTAGTTTCTCTCTCGCAGGGTCTGGGCTCGTCGCAGAGCCTGGGCCTGTTTGATTGGCGCGGCACCGGGCACGGCAGTGGAGGCGACCTGGAAATCGCCGTTGATGCCGTCCATGTGGTATTTGAGGGCCGCACGCGACAGTTTGTGGATCTGCGACTTGTCTGGGGGTGACTCTCCCAGCGTCGTGTCTGCGAACTGTGAAGCCGCCACTCGTGGGACGTATGGGCCATTTGAAGCTGCCAGGTCTGCGGGGTTCTGCTGTTCGTCAAGGGCGGCTTTCGAGGCGCGTCGGCGGAACCGTGCCGCCAGACTGTTTTCTGAATGGTGGTCGACCCCTTTGGTCCTGCGCTTGTCCTTGGGCGAGTCGAGCGCTGCCGTCCGGCGGCGGAGGGACTTGGCCTCGCTAAACTCTTGTGTGCGGAAGGGCCTGCTGCTCGACGATGGCACGGTACGCGACCTGCGCTTCTCTGCGTCGATGGCCTTGCGCTCGGCAATGACAAATTGGAGGCGTCGAGTGAGATCTTCAGGGTCCAGGCCGCGCCTGTGCGGCGCCGCCTTTTGCTTTGGTGGCTTGAAGTCGGTGTGACCCTTGGCAGGGCGATGGACTAACTTGGTGCCCTGGAAGTCGTATGTGTAATTCATGTTGTAATGCATATTCCTAGGGGAATCCGGGATGTTGGTGTTTGCCAGGCACGGTCAACTAGATTCAATAAAAACGTGCCAATCCTTTTCAAGGTAGATGTCTTGAGGTCATGCGTGTTTGTATCGTAGAAGTGAGGAGGCTGAAGCAGGAGATGCTGTGAGAGGTGCTGTCGGTAGGGACAACGCAGCGAAATCCGTTGTGCGACGTGGGCGGGCAAATGCAGCCGAGCGACAACTGAGACGGCTGCACTGAGCACAGCAGAAAAAAAATGACTCGGTGTGAAGCAGTGGCTGGTTTATTCTTCAAAGACGACGCCACGGCAATACGATGTCGGCTGCGGGGAATCCTTGTCCTTTAGGGCAGAGCGAGAAAAGAGGCTTGGAGAGCTCGTGTTGCTGGCGGGGGAGATCGGTTGGGTGGGATGAACCGTTTGCGCCAGTGTTTTGGGCCAGAGAACAGGTTGAAGGAGGCCGAGGTAAGGATGGAAGCAGAGAGAGGTATCCAAAGGTGACGGAGGGCGGTTGTGTAGTGTTTTTATTTAGGTGGTTCGAGGTCGAGCTCGTAGGAGATATAGGATGTCGAGGGATAGCAAATTCTAAGCTCGGCGGGCAGGTGAGGGTGTCTCGTCACAGAGGGGCCTCTCTCAGTCGCGGGGTGGGCTCCCGGTGGAGGGAACAGGCCACTTTATACTGAAGCTCCAAGTTGAGGACGGATGAATTGAGAGCTGCCACGGCCAGATTCCGAGGGCGACAATTCAAAAAGAAAAAGTAAAAAAAATAGAAATCAATGACGAGGCAGAGATTGAGTCAAGAGAAACGGCAAACAAAGGAGCCCTGTGATTGTGTTGGGTGGGCTTTATTTCTTATTACGTGGGAGGGCCCCGGCCAAGCGCCCAAGCTAATAATAACCCCATTACATAGTTAGAGGGCAAAGGATCACATTAGTACAGTATGTAGTCTGAGGCCGCATTTGGCACGCGATCATGTCGATCCGCCGGGGAGGGGCCCAAGAGTCCCAAGTCCCAGGGCAAAAGTATATAGCCACTCTCAAAACACGAGCCAGCAGCGGCGCCAGTATTGGACCCAAGTTCGCCAACAAACATAGGTAGTACCAACCTGCCTGTAGGCTAGTCAGTAGCCCTCCCTACAACGACGAGTCACAAAATAAAAAAAGTTAACGGGCAAGATCCGGTGAGCAAAGAAAAAGCAGGGTTACCAACCAACGTAACCCGGGGCTTCTGCACAGTGACGTTACCTGGTGAGCTGATGTTTTGCTCTGAGATCCTTGTTCTACTGACAAAGCGTTCTTCTTTCGAGTCCTTGTTCTTGAATCGGCGGCGGCCCAAGCCAAGCCATCTTCATTGCCGGCCCGTCCTGCTCCTCTTGAAATTGTACCAATGAAAAATGACGCTACGGATACTACAGGGGCATGAAAGTAGGGAGAGGGCGGTGGGCGGGCGGACAGAGTCGCGGTGTGAGTGGACGGCTGGATGTCACTTTGGGGGAGGGAGGCCCGTGATGGCATGATGGCCTGCAGACGGCGATGAAGCACAAGGAAAATGCAAAAGAGCTTTTTAGCCGATGCCGAGAATTTTTGCTTTTTCAAAAAGAGGCACCGCTGGTAAGCCTCGATTACTTCAGGTCGCTCTTCCCCACGACCGCCGATTGGGGCCACGAGGTAAGACGAGGCGCGCCCGATTTCAGTAAGTGGTTTACTAAAAGTTTAGCCACAAAAAGGCGCCTCGAAGGCTGTCCATTTACGCGCGGCCATGGGATGGACTCAGCAGGAAAATGAGGTCAGGTGGCTAACAGGGGAGGGGAAAGTGAGGGGGTCTGTTTTCAGGGAACTAACTAAAACCACTGCCAATACTGAGTACCTATTACCAACAAGTAGAGAAAATGCAAGGCGCAATTGGAGACCTGCTGGACAATTGCCAATTGGTCACGGGGACGATGAAGATATTCGACGAAGCAGGGAACAGGGACGCTGCAATCCATTGCACTGGTGAACCCGCTCTCCATAACACGCGAAATCAGTGGAGGGCGGCCTCGCTGGCCTGTTACTGCACGTTCCCCATCTCAGATTGCCTTTGGGGATAGCTTGACCAGGGTTGCGGGGCGATGTATCCATGTCTGTCTCTCGAAAGCGACTGCAACTCTCAGCGACATGGTAATAAGGCGACCAAAGTTAAGCCGTCTATTCCACGTGAAGAGTGTATCCAGACGAAAACTCTTACGAACAAAAATACCGGTAGAGTGCCACTACTTTAACGCCCCTCTCTGTTGTGGTAACGTTAGTTGTTGTTATCCAACAGCATTATAACTTCATAGATCCTAGCTGTACAAGGGCGAAAAGCCAAGGCGACAACTCCGCAACTCAGCCATGCGCCACGTCATGTCTTGCTCTCCCTGGTTCAATGCAAGTCCTTATCTACCTTGAAGCTGGCTGCGTATATGTTCTGGGCATCAATGAATATACGTCGTCTCAGAAAAAAGGAAACCCATCTGTGTGACTCGCGTCATCTGGAGGCTCGGCGCTCGATGTCGTGTGGGGCCGCACGCATAATGCATCATGCTCTCCGCCATCTTCTCTGACGAGGCGGTGGCGGCGGACTGCGCGGCCGGCCATTGATCGATAGCTCCTACATGACACGGATACCGGCTCACATGGCCATTAGCTGGAGACAGCTCATGATGTTGAGCAGGGGTCTAGACTTGGAATTTCTTCTTACAGCCGAGCGGCGCCCTTCCTTCTGCTCGGACTCTTTCCTCATTATTCGCTGCCCGATAAATAACTGATCATTCTTTCTACTAGGGAATTGCAAATGTTGCAATGACATCGGGCTTATCCCGTCTAACTACTGGTAGTTCGCTTGCTACGACGCTGGGCCGGCCTAACAGTCAGATCCTAGACTTGATTCTGCCTAGGCAAGATGACCGGATGCAAGTCCGTCGCATCTCAATTGGCCTGTAAACTGCCTATTGCGCTGAGCAGATAATACGACCATCAAGGCTAAGAAAATTACCTGTCGAGACTAATATTTGATGCCGAAGAGTCGAGAGTTAGTGGACTGCACGAGAGGTATTCACACAGCAGGCGGTGTAACTCCTCGTTACCAGTTGACAGCATGTATAATTCTGTGACTACGACCGAGTGCAAAGAAGGTCCCCCCTTTGAGACATTTCCTCTCTAAAGGCCTTGGCTCCAGCTCGTACAAAGCGTGCTCTACGAAACGTGACAGACCAAAGTCATGTCGCCGGGCCTCGTACGGACATTGCCTCGTTCAATTTTTCAGTTTCGACACCCGCCAAAGCCCTGCATGGCTTAATCCAGCTTGAATAGTGGGCCTTCGCCCGCGTGGCACGGAGCCAACCGAGCGCGAGTTTATCGTTGCTGAGGGGAGGAAACAACCAACAACCAACCACATTGGCTTGGGGTTCGCCGCTGGAACTGGAACCCACCGGTAAACACCGTCGAGATCCCGGCCGCTTGCCGAGAGTGCCTCGATGCAGAGGGGTCAATACATCTTGCACTGTCGAAATTCCGTGAGGTACGAGGGCGAAAAGGGAGGAGGATATTTTCAGCCTGGCAGGCCAGGGCTGAGAGATCCATTCCCGCGCACGAAGTGGACTTGACGGTAGGGCGAATAGAGTTTGCCCATGCATCGACAACGGTGCCCAATCATGAGGCATGCAAACAAATAAACCCCCGTTAGGGTCCCTGAGGTGAGTCTACTGATGAACTTTATTCCCTAATTACATCCATCGGGCATCAGCGGAGAGACATTTGGCTGTTGACGACAAACAAAGTCTGTGCAACTGTGTTTGCTTTCGTCGTCACATTCTATTTCTTAACTTGTGACAGAGTAATTCTGCGTCCTTTTGCACATAGAACTGAGGGTACTACTGTTCTCGTGCGTTGACCCAATGCTGGCAGCAGGAGGCTGTAAGTGCCTTTTGCACGGTGAGATCGTGTAACTAGACGATCTCTTGATAAGGATTGCACACCCATGAACAGTTGCTGGACACATGAAATTGGATGGCACTTTTAATCCTTTCGATATCATAATCCGGTCTCGAATCTCACCGATGCGGCTCGAAGCATCGCCGGCGACTTGCGTTGTATCGGATAACGAGCAACCCCGTCTCCGGTCCCGTCTTCCCCCAGCTTTACCTGCCAGTCTCAATGGTCAGAAATCAGAAACCATGGAGAGTTTGCTTGTCGCATCCCCGCTGTGCATGCAAACCTAGCGTTTGGAGTTCACGGAGCGGTATTTCGCGGCGACGATTTTTTTTCTCCGACTTCTGCAGGCTGCATCCTTGCGCGATAGATGCTAATAAGAAATCGCTCAAACGACGATAGGTTGTTCATCACGCATCAGCGCCGAAAAATTCATTTATGAATATGCACTTTTAATGAAGGCTCTGAACCGGAAAGACTTGTCTCATGCCAGGTACGGATACGCGGTTCTCAATGTGATTCGCGAGCGATGCCTGCATGCTGCCACCTCACAGGGATCGGTGAGACAAAAGGCGGCCACAGGCTGCGTCAACGTTTCCTTACCCTGTCGTTCGCTCGGTGTGTATGAAGTCAGTCCAACCATGACCCTTGCATGATGGGAAGGCGGGTTGATTATGCGACCGGGCAACAGGTCGGCGCAAGACCAAACAAACTTGCGACGCATAGAACCGACAAGTTCGCTGCGGCACGCCAGGACAAAACCTGTCCCATGTAGTGCATCGCGACGACTCAATGCCAATGGGATACTCCCCGCATTTTGGGAGGGAACCCATGTGTCCATATGCCAGTGCAGCGAGCCCCGGCCGCACGCACGTACCCTCCGGCGTGCGTCTCGGGGGGATCGGAGAGGAGGGGCGGCCAGCGAGCCTGGCACGCCGGCGAGTTTTCTGTGGTGGCTGTATGGCATGGGGAAGGCGAAAAGGTCACATCGTGAATCTCAGCCTGCTCACTGATGGACATTTTTGCGCTGCCCCTTGTCGTGCATAGGAGCCTGATTTAAGCAGCCATACTGGAGCAGCCTGGAATGGCAAACAAGCTTGGTATTATCGGCGCCTCCGAGTTATAACTCTGGATAACGTACCGGCTCAGCTGGTCGGTAGCTACGGTACCAATAATAACGCTGTAGCTGGGAGCTGATAGCGCGGCAGCCACGTGTAAAGGACAAAAAGGCACACCTTAACGAGCACATGTCAGAGGTCAACATCCGCTTGCATGGCTTAATTTGTCTGGATTCTTCCTTGGTCGCGCCCCGGCACTCTACGTTGACCGAAGTAGGGGTGTCTTTACGGACTCTCTTTACCCGTGCTAACAGAGAGATCAATATTTGGCATCCCGCATCCTTTCGGCTGTCGCTACACGGAATGAAACCGGGTCCTGCACGTCTTGACATGTTGAATGCCAACGATTTTGATATCCGTTGGCCTGCCTCCCTCCCCCAGGTGCCATTCTCCCTCGGCAAAAAAACCCTTGTCGCATTGCCCGACGTCGTTTCAACCCCTCTCCATCTTGCTGTTCTCTTGTATTATTATGCCCCTTCCCCCGACCTGGCTCGGGCTGGGCTGGCCTAGGCTGATGAGCATGGAACTTCCCATCAAGCCCACCGAACAGGCCCCGTCCTCTCTCTACGGGTGACGCAACCGCCCCCATTTTGACGACGCGGGCCGCCGCACATTGACGCCCTGAGTTGAAGAATAATAATTAGACTCAAAAAAAAAAGCCAAACATCTTCAAGCCTCGCCTCCGGGGGTCTTGCCGTGTCTTCCCCCTTCCTCCTTCGCTCAGAAGGGAGAATGAGGGGGCTAAACCTACAGTACAGTACCTACCTCGCCGCCACCGCCGCCCGCCGTGGCCGCCTCGTCTGCCTCTGCCTCTCGCAGCCCCGGCTCGCTCCCCTTTCTTTGTTTGTGCAGGCAGCTGATAATAAAATGGCCTTCATCACCACATCACATCACCACCCATCACCTACAGATATAGTAGCTAGCCCCGAGCAGAAGGATTGACGCCCGCCCACTCTTTGCCCTTTCAGCCGCTATTTATCACCATCACCACCAACACAACTCGCTACCGCTACCATCATCAGCGCCGCCGCCGCCGCCGCACCCACTCCCACTTCCCCCTCCCAATAGCTAGGTACTTTCGTAGTACGCTTACGACTGCCTATCCCGCGACCGATTGACCCTGTAATCTGAATCACGAATTTCCATCATCTTCAGCCTTCCTCGACGACCGATCCCTTTTCCTGCGTTGCCCTCCGATCTCGACCCGAACCTCCGACACCGAATCGTCCGACGTCAAACAGCTGTTGACCGAGCTGCTCGTCCAGCTGCCAACCAGCATCAGCTTGAGGCGATGACCAGGCCGTCAGCCCGCGTTGGCTTCACCCCTCGTCGCTAGTCTCTCGCAATACCCTGACGGCCACCTTCCCCGGGTACGTATTGGCCAGTCATTTTTCCTGCTGCACCAAGTGCACTGGGTATTGTCTTTGTCTACCTTTTGTACCACAAGGTGTGACATGCCTTGTCCAGCCCTGCTGTGCACATGCGGTCTAGGCCAGAGGATGCCCACCTGTCTTGCTTCCACTTCCCTACTCCCTGCGAACACTGCGAATACTACTTCAGTAGGCAATGCGCCGAACCGCCGCCCACCGACTTCTGTTCTCGCGGGGTACCAATCAGCGGCCCGCGCCAACGGCCACAATTGCGCCTCCGTCCTCTTTTTTTTCTTGGGGGGGCATTCGTGTCCTGTCCTGATTCCAAATTGCTAACCTCTTTCTCCTTGCCTTGCACCTAGGTAGGCTCTCATTGCTGCTTCAATGGAGACCTTTACCATTGCCGTCATTGGCTCTGCCGGTGCTGGCAAGTCGACGTTCATCCAAAAGGTCCTCGGCCTCTCTAGGCCGCCCATCGCCAGCTCCGCAAGCGTCCGACTCGTCGTCGACAATGTGACGCACGGCGTTTCGCTTTTTGAGCTTGACTTGGAGAATTTCGACCAGACCGCTTCTTCTCAGACGATCCAATGGCCCAAGCAAATCAACGGCCACATTGTCCCCCGCCCGGACGCCGCGCTGGTGTTATATGATGTCACCAACCCTGAATCCGTTCGACCACTTCCCCAGGCAATGAGTGCGTTCGCGAACCATGACGTATTATGACCAACTCGTTTCCGCGATAATTGACACCTTCGCAGCTGCCATCACCAATGCTGGCTTACCTTCCATACTGGTTGCCTGCAAGTGCGAAATCGACGAGGAAGACTGGGAGGTGGACGTCGACAGCATCGCCGGTCACAAGATTTTCAAGTCCTGCATTGGTACATATCAAGTGTCTTTTGACAAGGCTGACATTTCAAGGGCTTGCCTGCAATCTATCTTGAAAGCTGCCATTGCCCACAGGAAGGGTACCTATGCCCACACAGCCCACTTCCAGCCGTCCAAGCCGTGCTAACAACACTGCAGAGCACAGCGAAACTGTTCCTCGCCGACGCGCACAATCTGCCGTCAATCTCGAAGCCCCAGATACTTCTTCTGCGCGTCCCCTTAGTCAACAGAGCAAACATAGCCGTGCCAGCTCAGAACTGTCCGTGCTAAAAGGCTTCGGTACGCCGCATAGCGAAAGCTACCGAGCCCGCGCCTCCAAGAACTCGGGGCAAGCCTACCGAAGCGATAAGCCCAGCGCAGACTATTTTTTGGATGTCGAGGAGTCTGATAGCGAAGGGCCAGCATACTCGGATGACATTCCAATTCTGCAGAGGACCGACGAGAACTTCGTTGAGAAGCCGCCCAAGATGACCGGAGTCCCCTTGACAGAGCTTGTCGACCGTCTTCTTGCGCTAAGACTCTCCCGTGCCGACAACAACTTTTCAGATATTTTCTTGTGCTTGTATCGCAAGTTCACCACACCGACCGAGCTCTTCGCAGCTATCCTAGCGCGCCTTGATCGCGTCCGAGATGACAAGACGGCACACTACCTTTCGAAAACAGCTACCCAGCTTCGCATCATTGAGGTCATTGCCAAATGGGTGTCGCTCTACCCCGGAGACTTTGCCAAAATCTCCACGCGAAAAAGTTTATTCGAATTTATTCAACACCTCTCAGCAGAGCCCATCTTTTCCGTTGCCTCTCAACAGATGAGGAGAAGTCTTCGGAGAGGCATTCTCGAAGACGATGACACTGGCTGGGCCGCTTCCGACCACAGCGACTCAGACTGTGACAACGAGAGGCTATCCAGGGAGATGAATGAGCTGTCCGCCAGTATTGGCATGTTTCAAGTTGACGACGACGCTGATGGCGGCCCAGACGCCACTGCGCTGCCCGATTTTGCTGGACAGCCCGGTGGGCAAGTTCAATTCCACTCGTATGACGAATATGAACGAGAAGCAACGTCACTTGAACCAGAAGATTTGCATCCGATGAACAAAACGCGATATCACATCTTTATGGATCTATCCGATGACGAAATTGCGGACGAACTGACGAGAATCGACTGGATTCTGTTCTCCTCCATTAGGATCCGAGATTTTGTCCGTTATGTCAGTCTGTCTTCGACGCAAAAAGAAAAGGCCACCAGCTTGAAAAATGTGAATCGCATGATTAATCACTTCAATCACATTGCCATGTGGGTAGCCAACCTGATTCTTCTTCGCGACAAGGCCAAGCACAGAGCGCAAATGTTGGAGAAATTCATGAATATTGCCATCAAGCTCCGCCAACTCAACAACTATAATGGTCTTTCTGCTGTGCTTGCGGGAATCAACGGAATCGCCATCCATCGACTTGCACAGACTAGGCAACTTGTGCATCCCGATGTGCAAAAGAAGTTTGCGCGGGCTGTAATTCTCATGAGCACGCAGAAGAGTCATTCTGCGTACCGTCTTGCCTGGGAAAATTCGCCGCTCCCGCGCATCCCCTTTGTTCCGTTACATCTGCGCGATCTGGTCAACGCGGAGGAGGGCAGCAAGACCTTTGTGGGACCGAACGGCGACCGTGTCAACTGGAGAAAGTTTGAGGTTCTCGGAGATGTGCTGTTGCCGCTGATGAAGAGCCAGGGCACGGCGTATCCAAACCTGGTCCACAACATGACCACTCGCGAGCTCATCCTGGGCTGTCGGATGCCCACGGATGACGAGGTACGTAGCCACGACGCACCCGCGATGGGAACCTTCTCAAGTAACCTTTTTTTCATTAGGAAATCTACCAAAGAAGCGTCGAACTGGAGAGCAGCAACTCCGCCGGCGTCTTCGACCCAGCCAAGAAGAAGTTTCCCTGGTTTGCCAAATAGAGAGTGGCAGACCAAAGCTTCCCCGCGGACGAGCCTCTTCAATGAATGTCACTCACTGTGCTGATGAGGATGTCTTGTGTGTATGCATCTTCATGCATATTGCGGCTGTGCCGCCCATACACAACACACCTAACGGCACCCAGCCTACGTCTTAGTCCTCTCATCTTCCCTACTTTTATACTATTCAAAGCATGTAGACATGCGACTTCATATCTGGGCGTTTTCGAATATTTTGCATATAGTACTCTCATACATTTGTCGATATCTACCCCCTCTCTAGTTGAATATATGAACGCTCACGCTTCTGATCATGCACTTATGTTAGCTGTGCACGGTGTTTGTCGTCGTTCCGGGTTGGGAAGGCGCGCCATGGAAGGCCAGCTGGCAGCTCTGGATACGACCAGGCACTGAAACTTTTCACCTACAAGTTTCGATACAGGACCGTTTACGCCATCATAAATTATTTCTTTCGTCGAGGGGCCTTTCCTTGTGCGGCAATCGCTTTCCATAGATGGGCACGATTCAATTACCGGCAGTCGCAATTATAAGCCAGCAAACGGGCCTGCAGGCAGACCTGCGCACCGCGCTGCGTTTCTCCCAGGACGTACCAGAAAATGTCAGGATTCGTTGCGCCGATGACATTACCAGGCTGCGCACCGAAGAAAAGCTCTGGATTGTCCCCGCGACTCCTTGTCGAATCCGCATCTCGATTCAGTTGCTCGGCCGCGTCTCTAGCCAGATTCTAGACATGAGAGAAGCGGCGAGCTGGATTGAACGCTGCGACGTATGCATCAGGTATTCTGCTAGCCTATCTATATGCATACTGACAGGAGCAGATTTGGGAGCGCCTTTGGCTGCGGGTGCGACATTGCGAAAGGCCCGGAAACAACTCGGTGCTGGAGTTTTCGCTGCAGCACTCCGATCTGTCGGCGTCATCCAGCTGTCCGCCAGCTGCCGCGAAAGCACGACTTGATGATTTAATCTGTCAAGTCGAAGTAACGCAGCCTCCGGAAACGCGAAATCTAAAGAAGAGAAAGCGAGTCAACGTCAATGACCGGAAGGATGCAGCGTTCCGCCCATCGCGAAGCGCGGCTTTGGGGACTGGCGACATGGGTTTCCAGCCTCGCTATGACGCGTATACCATGTCGACAGACAGTATCTCAATGAGATCGTTAGAGGAGATCGTGCAAGCCGCAATAACGGTGCTTATGACTGGGTTGGCCAGGCATTTGGCGAATGTGTCTGTTAGGCACGGCAATACGGCGCACGGTCTCGCCAGGATGATCCCATCAGTGTTCAATATGCCATATGTCAAAGTGAGTACCCGAATACAGGGGAATTTCTTGCCGCTAATTACGTAGTCTATTTCAGACCGATCGCAGTATTTATCAGTCATTGCCAATGCACTCGGTGCTTTGCAGGACACCGCCCAATCGCCAGCACTGAAGCGGAAAGTCTGGAATCTCGCGGATCGAGGAGGTATCGAGAAACATTTGTGGTATTCTACATTGTCTCAAGTGAAGCCAGCAAGCCTTCCCGGGCCAAAGTTGGCTGCAGCTAGACAAGAGACTCCGGCCTTGGAAAGTGCCGTGACGGATCACGGCCTGGGATCGAACTTGATATGTTTCGGAGAGGATCTCTTCTCCTCAAACGTTCAGAACGGGCTGAGTGACGACACTGAAACATTCCTTATCAAGGATGACTCACCTACCGTGTGTATCGACTACGATGCGTTGGAAGGAACCCCTCCCTTTGCCGCGGGGGACTTCACAGAAGCTGTCGCCATCGGCGGCGGAGGATGGAAACAAATGTCGGGCAGCACAGACGATATGATTGAGTTTGGCAGCGATTTCTTCACCATGGAAGCATACTTCGATATGTAAAGATGAAGAATTTAATTGTAATTGATCAAAGCCATCCCATAATAATGCAGCCCACTCACGCTCAACCCGGTGAAGATGCCAGCTTTCGACCGATAGCGTAGGGGCCAAAAAACGCCGAATTATATGCTGAAACCCCCGAAATTCAGAAACTCGAAAGACCGAGAAGGGTTCCACGGTCCTATTTCCTAGCATTATCCCTTCCGCGACCGCCCGCGGCGGCGGCACCGCCCTTCTTCTCCTTCTTCTTCTTCTGCTCCGGCTTGAGCGTGGCGTAGTGGATGTACCACAGCAGGCCGCCCTGGACGCCGAGGCCGATGAGGACGACGATGAGGTTGGTGAAGAGGTTGGGCTGGTCGTTGAGCACGGCGACGGCCTCCTTGGTGGCGCCGACGGATCGGAGAAAGTCAAAGTTGGGCATCTTTTTTCTTTCTCGTGTTCTTCGCGGTAGGTAGGGTGTGTAGAAGATGCTCCCGGTTCCTCGTATTCTTTTCTTGCCGTCGTATGTTTTTCGTGGTGGTTGCGTTTGGATTTCTCAGAGTCGACGGCCGCACGGCGAGGAGATGAGAGGATTTTTGTACTTTTGACGAGCGAGCGCTTTCCGGCGTGTGAAGGAGATTTTCTGCAATTTACTTTAATGAGGGAAAATTGAAGCTCAAGAACTGGCGATGGGTAGAGATTGGGTGGGTTGAAACAAGGGGTGTTGCGGGTTCGCCTGCGACGCCAAGGTTGAACAATTGGCGTTTCATAATGGACGGTATAGTGGCGTCTGTCATCTGGTGACATTTTGGAGAAGAAATAATTTAATATATTCTAAATTGCCAAATATTGTTTGCGATTGTCAATGTCAAATTTTTATATCCGTTTAATGCCCGATCGACTTCCTAGTCTGGCCTGTCTGTGTGTTGTGTCTTGTTATTTTACTTGCGCTTCACGGACCGAAGGCCTGTCCCTCCTTTTCTTCCCTTCTTGACTCTTGTATATTTGACGGCATCGCTGGAGCGGATTGTACCTTGGCCTTCTCTTCCCCGCCACTGCTCTTCTTCTCTCCAGTCATCTTCCTCCTCAGCCAGCCGCAGCCCGCCGTCAGGCCCTCGACCAGCGCCAGCAGCAGCGGCGCAATCGTCTCCGCCAGGAACAGCGTCGCCAGGACCATGGCCAGCGTGAGCGCGACAAAGTTGAAGTCGCTGTCGAGCACGTGCCTGTCGACCGTGACCGGCGTGGAGACGAGGAAGACGCCGATGATGTTGATGGAGACCATGTTGGTGAAGAGGCGGCGCGCGCTCTTGGGCGTCTGGTAGCGCTTGCACGCGACGATGGCCTGCTTGACGCAGACGACGGTGCCGTAGGCGACGACCGTGTTGAACGTGAAGGGCTGCGGGTAGAAGGAGTAGCAGACGTACGCGAAGATGGCCACGTCGAAGGCGACGAGCAGGAACTTGGGCGCGCGCGGCTCCACGTGCCCGTCGGAGGAGGGGGCCGCGGTCGGGCTGGTGGACTGGTAGTCTTCGTAGGTGTTGACGATGCCTTCGAGGTCGTCCTTGAGGAGCCCGACGAGCTGGTCGGCGGGACGGCCGAGCTTGTAGCACGCCGTGTACTGGATGTAGCGCTCGACGCGGACGCGCACCGGCACCGCCTCGGCATCATCACCGTCACCCGCCGCCGCTGCCTTGTCCCGCGCGGCGAACACCTTGATCGCCATGAGCTCCGCGTTGATCGCCCTGTCCGCCTCGTCCCAGTCCATCGCCTGCTCCTCCTCGCCGCCCTTGTGCTCGCGCAGCCTCCTCATCTGACGCCTCGTGACCAGCCGCACCACGTAGTCGCGCACTGCCGGCGAGAACTGCACGCCGACCTGCCACGTCATGGACAGCGCCAGCATCATGCCGCGGAACCACGTCTTGCCGTACGCCTCGTGCACGGCCGGCACGACCGCCGCGAGCGCGTACGCGGTGCTCCCCACGAACGCTCCAAGCAGCCGCTCCAGGCTCCAGTTGAAGAGCAGCCAGAGCGAGTGCTGCGGGTAGCGCCAGAGGAACCACAGCTGGCACAGCGTGACGATGCGGCCGCCGATCGACCGCTGGTTGTACGAGCGCTCGCCGAGCACGCCGGCGGCGACGTCCGGGTAGCACGCGCTGAAGACGAGGAAGAGTATGAAAACGTTGGTGAGGACGCGCTCGGTGCGGGGCACGGCGGCGCGGAAGCCGTGCCGCCACATGGCGAGCGTGCGGCGCACGCCCGAGGAGGCGCGTCGGATGGCGCGCCGGCCGGAGGGCGTGTGGAAGGGCGCGGCGAGGAGCGAGGTCAGCTTGGTCTCGAGGTTCTGCGCGTTGAGGCTGGCGAGGAGGGACCGGAGGTTGGTGGGTAGGTGCTCCCACGTCTCCTCCGCGGCGTCGAGCAGCTTCTGCTTCTCGGCGGCCTCGTCCTTATCGGCCTGCGTAACGCTAGAGTCGTCTGAGCTCGCACTGTCACTCTCATCCTGGAAGGTCGACGACGACGACGAAGACGAGGAGGAACCGCCGGGTGACAGACGCTCACGCACTAGACGGCGGATGGCCTCTTCTTCAGTGGGGAGCTCGTCGCGAGGAATGGTGGGAAAGGCCTCCTGGAGAATGTTCCGGATGCCCTCTTGATCAAGCCTGGTGCTCCAAACGGCAGCGTAGACGGCGTCTATCGGTCGGTTGCGGCTATTGTAAGGGACAGACCAGCGCCAGACAAAGTGGACGGCGGCGAGAGCCCCGTTGCCGATAGCTTTGAACATGTTGACCTGAGGATACTGGACTGACAGTACTCGATCATGAACAGTTTGCCAAGGCTCGGCCCGCTGTGGACGACGAGTGACTTCTTTTTAGATGACAGTTGATCTCTTCAAAGTCTGCCCGCACTCCACGCGGACAATGTGTAAGGGCCTTGTTGCAGTACAGTGAAGTACGGCTTGCTTACTCTACATAACGGGATTAACATTCGGCTTTTCCATTTCAAAGATCCACACAGCTCGAGGGAACTAAATGAGACTTACCTTCTGTCAGATGTGCTGTTGAGACATCCACCCTGACGATCCCAGACAAGATCCTTGCCCAGCACAGAGACTTTGGTCAACGTGCTCTCTCTCTTGCAGTAAGAGAAGCGACGATGGCCGACTATGCAGTGGGTCGCTTATTTCCAAGGAAATAAAACATTTTAAATTCTCTCAAGGTGGGCTCAAATTGTATCAGCCAGTCAGCGATTGGCCATAGGCAGGCGAGGACCACGCACGGGAATGCTGGGAGGCCAACAAGCTGTCTTCCCTGCCTTATACGGTTTTCTGCTTGGCTTGTAGAATCAATTATGCCGCGAGTTATACCGTGATGCACTGCTTGCCGGACGAGCGAACCGCCCATCGAGAAACGTGGAAGCAAGTATAAAGTCAAGAGGTGGGACAGCGCCGTGCGGCGGCAATGCTCGTCCTTGACTCGATCGGAACGCGCTGTGCCAAAGCTTCCATGCTCTCGGAAAGATCTTTTTAGGAAGGTGATCGGTCAATGCAAGGATCAAGCACCTCGGAAGGCGCTGCGCCTCGAAAAACCGCACATGCTCCGAAGTGCGTACATGTGCCTTGACATGCTGTCATTACGTGTCGATCGGGAGGGCGTCCACAAAACCATGTTTGGAGTTGTCTTTGATGTACAGAATAATGGACAGCAGAATTCCATCCATACTGGTCCGAATGGGAACGGATCTTCAGACAAGAGTTGCTCGCACGCCATTTCTTGCGTGTCAGCGTGACATTGTTGCCTGCATCGCCACACCCAAAGTCTAACCACGACGATGGCGAAGCAGCCACCATCGGTGTGCGAACTCAGTCGACTGGATTGCGCAAGGAAATCAAGGGATAGTAATTCAGTTGCATCCGTATTCTTCGGGTCCAGTCTCACAACGACGTCAAGCGTGCCTCGCTTTGCGTCGTAAGGAGCAAGCTGGCTGGTTGTTGGCCAGCGCTCGCAAGCTTTTGGCGTGCATTAGTTAGTGTGAGGTTAGGGATCCATATTCAGGCCGTCGGCTCCCGGCTCCTGACACTGATTGTCCTTTTGACAGGTCTGTTGGTGGAAGTTGCCGTACTAGCTGTATTGTCACTGGCAGGGCACCATTTTCATAATTCAGGACGCCATCGATGGTGGATAGAGTAACTAGACAAACGCTACCACAGTTTGGACATGAGTGCAATAGACGTTTTGCCAAGAGTGATGGTCAACCGTGGCATAACCATAAACGTGCGTCTAACTTTAAACGACCATACAAGTTTAAAGAAGAGTCAAGTGTGGCGCTCTCCTAGACAAAGATGCCACCCGGTGGACTCTTCTTCTCTGCATCCACATCGTGATGACATCTTGGGCCGCAATGATGCAGGAATAGGAGGAGTCTGAGATGGTTGGTGGGTTGGGGGCTGAGATCCAAGCCAAGCCACACCGCAATTTGTTTCCGAGCCTCTCTTCAACTCAACCACGGACACCTCAGCTGTCACCTCGCTCGTTCTCTCCTTTCTTTCCTTCATTCCTTCTCTGTCAGGGTGCCATGACACACGAAGCCAACGACCCGCAGATGCGGGACACCTAAAAGGGAACCTTGGGGGGAGTGAATTACCTTATTGGCAACCTTGTCCACATACGAGATCACGGACATCGGCGGAGGCGGCTCCATAACTCGGCCGGGCATTGCGCAAGCGACCACACCGGAAGCAGAATGTAGTACCGCCGGGTGCAACGACCTCCTTGGTTTCCATGCACAATAAACAAGCTCTTTTTGCGGATTACACTGCGACGGACCTGGGGCACGCCGATGCGGCCGAAATCACTCTAATGAGGATGGGCCGCTAATAATTGCTTTGAGTGAGTAGCTTGGAGCTTGTCTGAGAGCTTGTCCGGGGACCTTGTTTGGGAGCTAATAACCAACTTCCGCCAAGACGACCAACAAACGCATCGGGATAATCCCTCCGGCACCCGAAATGGCCTCCCGATCTGATAGTCGTGGGCGGTGTCAGATGGCCTGAGGAATCGTTTCCGAAGTCCCAGCTATCCACCCTTCGATGCAGGTTAAAAGTAAGAGAACAAATTGTCCACAGTGGCTGTGTAATTGCTGGGTAACTGACTAGCGATCGTCTCGGTCGGCATTTCGTGCTACAGATCGTCGCGATCGGCAAGCAACCTGGCCCATCCGCTACGGTAGGAGAGCCCCAGGGACAGGTCTGTGCTAAAGACTAGTTTGTCTATTGGTCGAGCGAACATTGACGAGCTGTTTGCTATACATTTGTGCATTCTCACCATCGATCCACTACAGCAGGTCGTGTCTTGCTTCACCCAGGCAGCATGTTCAAGGTTGGGCAAATGAGATGCTGCAACTCGTCTATTGGTCGCTGACACGCGTTGCCAAGAGCTGAGATGCGGGAACCCGCATGTGAGGTAAGCGGCGAGCCGGATTTAACGTCTCCTATCGAGTTTGCTTTCAAATGACTACAAGTTTCCATTTCATTGAGGCAGTTGCATCCTCGTAAAGTAGAGCGCATGTTCACTGTCAGCTCTGCTCCACGCCCATCGATAGGGTCCGTGTAGCATCAGCCAAGTGAGTACAGTACATGTGACTTTGCTTGGCTCTGTAACTATATTCTAATGCTAAATGTTAAGCCTACATAGGCGCGCCAAGAAAGTCGATCGGCACCGGACTTCGCAGCTTTCGATGTGGCTGGCGTGTCATCGACGGGTGCACAGTTAGCGTCGGAACAGCCAAGCCGATCGCTCTTACAGTTGGCAACCAAGAAAGAGGCCTTGGGGAACTACAACAAGTCTGATACATATGGCATCTTTGTTCAAATTGAAAAAAAAAGGAGTAAAAAAGAAAAAGAATAACCAAATGTAATGCCTCGGATTTCCTTGCATAGCCACGTCACGTCATCCTGCTCGTCCACAACAGCGAGTTGTTTCATGTAACTACAGGCGGAACTCTAACACTAACAACGAGATACGTAATTATTAAGAATAAATGATCTTCTCTCATGTAGTGGACCTTTGTGGACCAAATTGTCAGGCTAGGATGCCATCGCACTCTTCCGTCCCGCCTCTCACAGGACTCCCTGGCTCGTTCCAGAGACAAGCTTACGACGTACGACTGCGTCGGCAAGGAACATGGCCCCCTGAGTTGGAAGTACCTGTGTAGCTGGTGTTCTCTCTTTGCGCAGCAAAGAGTGCAAGATTAGATGTTTTCGCGGTCCGTCCACCGATGGTTGTTCTTAGTCGTCGAGGTTCGGTTTAAAAGGACGTGCATTTCCCACATTTCAGAGGGTTGAAGATAAGCATCATCTACTAAACACATTTATCAAGCTTAATTTTACTCTAAAGGTAGCTCATCCAATCCGCTCCCATCAGATAAGACCAGCATTGCTAACCCGCCTTGCTGCCCAGATACCCAAGCCCATATACATACCTACCCTCCTTCACGATGCCAGGGCCAGTTGCGGCTCCAGATGCCAAAGCGGCAATGAATAGCAACAGCACGCCTTTCCAGGTCTACCACTCATGGCCCTCTCAAAAGTCCGAGTGTAAACAGTTTGACGACTTCTGCTGGATCGACCTGGCCCACGTGGTCATGCTGGTCGAGCAGAAGACGGTTGACAGGGCCGTTGGTCAGAAGCTGCTACCCGCCCTGCAAGAGATCCGAGCACAGGGCTATAACAGACTCCCCATCGATCCGTTCAAGGAGAGCCTCCTGTACCAGGTCGAGTCCGCCCTCGGCCAGAAGCTCGGGGACCACGTCGCCGGGGCGCTGCACACGGCACGCAGCCGCATCGACCAGCGCGCCACCGTCAGTCGCATGTACTACCGAAGGATGCTGCTGCAAGTCATGGACCACATCTGCCAGTTCCAGGAGCGCATCGTCGAGGCCGCGCAGGAGCACGCATCCCAGATCATCCCCTACCACACCCACATGCAGCAGGCCCAACCCGGCAACTTCGCCCACTACCTGCTCTCCTTCGCCGCCAAGCTGCAGGAGGACTTTGAGCGGTGCCAGGAGGCCTACGCACGCGTCAACCGCAGCCCCCTGGGTACCGTCGGCCGCAGCGGAACCGGCCTGCGCATCGACCGCGAGCGCACCGCGCGGCTGCTGGGCTTCGACGGCTGCGTGCGGCACTCGCTGCTGGGCAAGGACGCCGACTTTGCCGGCGACGTGCTCGCGGCGCTCTCCTTCGTCATGTGCCACCTCAACGACTTCGCCACCGACCTGCACCTCTGGTCCTCCAACGAGTTTGGCTTCGTGCGTCTGCCCGACGCCTTTTGCGGCACCAGCAGCGTCTTCCCGCAGAAGCGCAACCCGGTCACCCTCGAGGCCATCAAGCTGGCCGCCGGGCCGAGCGTCGCCTGGCTGACCTCTGCGCTGGCCACTTTCCGTGGCGCGGGGACCGGTGATCACCGCGCGCGCGGCGTCCCCGCGCACCTGGACCACGCGCTCGAGACTACCGCGGACATGCTGGCGCTCGCGGGGCTGGTCGCCGCGGCGGTGCGCGTCGACGAGGAGCGAGTCGCGGAGGTGCTCGCGGCCAGCTGGTCGACGACGAGCAACCTGGCCGACTTCCTGATGCAGCACCGAGGCCTGAGCATCCGCCAGGCGCACGGCGTGGTGGCGCGCCTGGTGCGCGCGTGTCGCGAGGAGGGGCTCGAGAGGGTGCAGGTCACGCCGGCGATGCTCGAGGAGGCGAGCCTGGTCTCGCTGGGGGAGCCCGTCCAGGTGAGCGAGGAGGAGCTGCACGAGGCGCTGGACCCGGAGAGCTTCGTCAAGACGCGCACCAGCGCCGGCAGCGTTGGCCCGGCCGAGGTTGAGGGCCTCACGGAGCTGGCGCAGGACATGCTCTCGGACAATCGGCGCTGGGTGATGGAATGCCGCAGCAAGCATTTGAGAGCGGAGACGATGCTCACCGAGGCCATTTCAGCTGTGCTGAAGGATTGATTTGGAACATAGCAGGAGTTAATACAATATTTCGCTTCAATGAATTTCGCCAAGTGCTGGACTCGATGAGAACAAGTACAATCATGTCCGCGCGTCTTGGTCAGAGAAGAGATAGTCATAATTTTTACATTGTGGTCTGGTATATTTGCATCGACGCGACATCCAATGTCTTGGCCTGTCTCGTCAGAACCTGGTGCTGACAATGTAGGTCAAAGGAAACAGCCGGGGCAGTTCCATGTGCCTGAAAGCAAGTAAATGCCAATTGCTACCAAGGCGAGCCAACCGTAACCAATATGTGGCCCTGTGCGTGTCATGTAAATGCAAAGAACAAAGGGGGGGTATAAAATCGTACAAATAATTTGCAAAGTCAAAAGTACCGCACCAATGTACTCGTGTCCCGTCCGCAAGATAGCGACCTTCCGTGTTGGTTACATAGCCATTCGCCATGGAACGGCCAAACAAAGCAGAGGAAAGCATTAAATAGATTCAAATCAGTCCAGAGACATGTACAGGACAGTTCCGAAGGAGCTTGTTCGCGTGACCTCTGCTTGAACTCTTTGTGAGCCAAAAAGCGAGGAACCCGAGTAATAGCCAAGGGAATTTGCGACTCTGCGGTTTCGATATATCAAAACCAAAACAAGAAGATTTCGTCCTAGAAATTGACACAAATAAGAAATAAGAAGAAGGGTAGAAGGTAAGGGCCGCGAGGCCTTTTGGTCTGGCGGGCCGTGAGACCCGGATGCTAGTCTTTGGTTTGCTACGCCTTGTCTCTGGCCAGAATAAACCTCTGCAACCAAAGATGAATGCTTTTTTTTTATCATATTGGTGTGACTTGCGGAGGAAAAGGGTTCCAGTCTGCAAGCGTAGCGTCTGCGCTCGTGGCGTGATGGATATGGTAGATATTAACTTCAAGTCAATTGAATAGAATTCAGCTGCGACTTGGATGTGAATTGCGCAGCCTCAACGTCGATGGCGATGGGAAGAGCTGCCGTGATGGCGTGAGCTGTGCTTGTGCGAACTGGAGGATGAATGCTTGTGTCGGCTCGAGGAACCGCTCGCGTCGAGACTGCGCTCCAAGTCTTCGACCCTCGAGCGGTAACCCTTGACAATATCCTTAACATTGGCGATGCGATCAAAGTCCGTCTCCAGTTCGTCGAGCTGGCGCAGGATCTCGTGGTAGCGGGCAATCTCGGCGTCGGCGCCGTCGATGATGTTGCCGGCGCGGTCGTACTGGACCTGGGTGAACATCTGGGCCTGCTCGCTGAGGTACTGGATGTTCTGCTCGATGCTGGCCATGAGGCGATCAAAGTAGCGGCCGAGGGCGGCAAGCGAGGAGCTGTCGAGGAGGAGAAGGCCTTGACTGCTGGCGCGGCTGGCAGCGCGGGAAGAGCTTGAGCCACCGCCGCCGTTGGCGAGGGCGGCCTGGCCCTGGCGCAGGAGCTGAACCTCCTCGGCCGTGAGACCCAATTGTGTGTCGGGGACGGCGTTGGTAGTCATGGCGGCGGCGGCAGTGGGAAGCGCAGGGGGCAAGGCGCTCGGGGCGCCCCAGGCTCCCGGACGGGGTTGGGAGAGAGGAGAGATGTGTCGTCGGGTTTGGCGTCCGGCGGTAGGTGCTGGGTGGTAGATAAAAGGTTGGGCCTACTCGATGATGCGGCTATTTTCGTTCGTCTGGGATGCCTGGCAGGCCGGCAATGCAATGCGGCGCCGAGCATGTGATGGCTTGACCGCGACGGCCCTGGGACGGGATGCGACAGCGACGGAGGCGGGGGACAGGATCGCATCAAGGCCGATGTAGCACAATCGGGGTATCGGACGACGAGCGGATGGGAGATGAATCGGCGACAGCGGTGGCGTTCATGACCTCGAGGGAGCGACGGCGATGACGACGTCGAGAAGCATGGTTCCGAGCATGGGTTGGGTGACGAGATTCGAGACGTTTGCGGCAAGGGGGGGCGCGGGCGACAGGAGTTGGGAGGGGAAGCCAGGCGCAGGGAATGAAGAAGCTAATGTAAGAAGGATTTTGATCACCAGCACCTCGGGGGGACAAGAGAAGCAGGCCGGCGGCTGCACTAGCGCGAGGAAGGAAGGAAGACGATGAGATGGTGGTGGTAGTGATGGTGGTGGTAGTGATGGTGGTGGTAGTGATGGTGGTGGTGGTGGCACTGGCACATGTTGGTTAGGTATGAAACCATGGGCTTGGCCGGTCTTGATCCTCACCAATAATTGAGTGGATGATGAGGTCCAAGGCTGACCTTTGATGGGGAGGAAGGACCTGCCCAGATGGGGATTTAGCGCCGAGGCCTCTAAAAGGCTAGTAGAAGGCTGCCATTTTAGCGCCCGTGAGCCCTGAAACCCACAAAACAGGCCTGGTTCGGCCCGCTGAAGCCCCTACCTACATAGGTACCTACAGTACATACAGACATACATACATACCTAGGTAGGTACCTGTGTACATGGGTACTGTCTCCTCTCTTCTCCCTTTTAGGTATACCCGGCGCGGAGGTCGCCTCCTAAAATTCTTCGCGAGGTGTTGTGAATCTTGAATAGCCTATTTCAGTATTATTCTTCCTCTTTTTGGTCCCTCTCTTTCCTGCCCAGGCCTGAAAACGCTGTTTTTTTGCATAATCAATTCCGAAATTGCATAGTCGCGCCAGCACTGTGCGAGGCACCACCGCTGAAGGCACCGCTGAAGACACCGCTGAAGACACCGCTGAAGGCTCTGTAGCGCCAGCTCACAGAGCTCCCTGGCGGCCGCGAAGCTGCCGTCAAGGTCAGCGCCGAAGAGGCCAGCGATGACAGCGATGATAGCGATGATGCAGTAACTATGCAAATTCTAAAATCGACTACACAAGGCTTCGTTTTTACGAATCTTCAAACTGAGTCATTTCTACTGCCAGCCAGCAGCGTTTTGTGTCACGCGTTCGCACAAAGTTTGGAAATTAAGAGGGGTAAAAATGACAAGAAGGATAAAAAAAGAGGAGGAAGACAAGAAGGCCAAAAAATACAGAAAGATAAGAGGGACAAGAAATACAAGAAAGACGAGAGGGACAAGATATATAGAAAAACAAGAGGGACAAGAAATACAGAAAGACAAGAAGAACAAGAAATACAAGAAACAGAAGAGGGATGAGAAAACAGAAAGCAAGTCATATACTATTAAGAAAGAGACTTCCGAAGTTAGCGTATAGCAATCAATCAATTAATCATCAAAACTAATCAAGTATTATCCGCGTTTTCCATGCAACTTTTGCTTCAGCTTCCTAAAACTCCTCATTCCCTTGTCCAGCACAAACGTAGCGTACTCTCCATGCCCTTCCATTGTTGCCGAGGATCTCCTTTTGATTCCCATGTACTCCTCCCTGTCAGACTCGCGCTCTCCGATCGCGACAAAGATACCCGTAAACCGAAAAAGAATGACGTTGAGAATCATTCTGCACATGCGGCCGTTACCGTCCAGGAATGGATGGATCTGCACAAACTCCAACGAGTACTTGGAGGCAAGAGAAAAGGGGTCAACATACTTGTCTGCCTCAGCTTTGAAAATATCTTGCTTCAAGTCGGCGCAAAGTTTAGCCATTTGGGCCGGGACGCGCTGGGGAACGACAAAGTTTGAGTTGCCAGCGCCAACAATGACCTTGCGATACTTGCCGGCGTAGTCCTTGGAGGGTGTCTCCGGGCCTTCTCTGTGAATTACCGGGACCCCTTTGCAGAGGATGGCGTGCGTTTCTTTGATCAGCTCTTCGGTCATGTCCTCCTTGTTGACGGCGAAGTGGTGGATCATGTGTTGAAAGGCTTTGACGTGTTGAATAATCTCTTGACGGCCTCGGAGTACAAGCTTCACAGACTTCTCTTTCAGGAGGGGGTCCATGCAATAGAGTTCCGCCAGCTTTTGTAAATATTCTGGTGTTCGTTCAGTAATTTCTCCGACGTCCTCGCCGCGCAGGATCTTGCGACAGAGGTGAACGGTAATGTCGAGATTGAGGCCGGCACTCTCGATTCTGTTGCTTCCGAAAATCGCGTGCAGCATCAAGTCCTCGAGCTGTGTATTGAGCGTCTGTTCCTGTTCTTCATTTCGAGAGGTTGCTTTTGCGCTGTCCATGTATGAAGTTGCCTTCTTGAACAATGTCGCGGGGTCTTGTCCAGTAGCATATGTTCTGTAGACATTGTCGGCGCGAATGGTCATAGAAACATTTTCCATGGCAGGCCACTTGGATCTGATTGAGTGTTGAAAATGAGCGAACATTCTTGATCTTTTGTCGGGGCTGGGAGGTGTTGTTGCTTTGTTGGTGTCGATGTTGATGAAAGCGAGCCGACTGGCTTGCGTGGGAACGCCATGGTTATAGAGTCGACTGAAGGATCAAGAAGAGGGGGGGGGGAAAGAGGGAGATTTGAGTTCAAATATCCAAACTTTGTGTGCAAACGCGTGACAAACGGCACTCACGCGAAGCGAACAGCTGCCAGCCACGAACAGCTGCCAGCAGAGATGACTCTTTTCTACCGAAATAAGCTTCGTAAAACGAAGCCTTCGTATCTACAACTCAAAGGCCGGAACGTATGCTGATATGGGGTATGGGATATGGGAATAACTAATGAGTTGAGCAAGCGGCGAGCAGCGCGAGATTGAGAATGACGGAGGAGCGACAATGAATCCCTTCGGTTGTCGTAAGGATATTTTTTTGCAGTATGATATTTCTATGTGAGGAGACGGTTATTTCGTACTTCATTTTATGTTCTATTTGATAGATATTGTTCCGGTGATAGATCATCGCCAATCTTCAACCTCTGCGTAATCCTCGTTCACACTTTATTCCATCACCTTCATCAACGTGAACAGAACTCCCATAATTGATGATGTTTCCTCTTGAGGTTTCTATCTCTCTTGGTGCTGAAATTTTAAACTTCAGCGGCTTTTCGCCGGCACTGGCTTGTAACCCTGCTTCTCAAGCTCAACGGACATGTGCAAGTAGCGGATGGGCCACACACGCTCATGTTATGGGAGGCAATATTATGCAAATTTGTCCTTGTTTGCGTACTACAAAATATGTATTCTCGTGATACCTGTTCCAACCCCCTTTAAATATACAAACAATCTCCAGCTGAAGTCGACTCTTTCCTCCTTGCCCTTACATCCCAACCTCAAATCGCATTTCAATTTCGCCAAGATCCACGACGCGGCCTGTCAAGTTTGCCAGATCTGCTATTCACAACTGAGGCCTGTACACCATGGTTGATCAGCTCCAGCCGTGGCATATTGCGGTGCCTGTTCACCCTCAATTTCGCCAAGATCCATGGCGTGGGCCTCGCAAAAAAGCCAGCATTTACTTCTTCTTCTGCTCTATGCGATACCTGAAGAGCATGATGTTTTCTTCGAGCTCTCGTATGGCCTCGTTGATGATTTCCTCCTTCTGCATGAGCTCGGCGATGGCCCCCTCAATCTCCAGGTGCTTCAGGTACTTGGTCGAGGTTGGGCTGGGGTCGTGGGTGTTCTTGAGGCAGTCCAGGGCGGCCTTCTTCTGGACCATTTCGGCGTGAATGCCGAACCACTCCTGTTTCAGCACGGTACGCTTCTCCTCGGCCGCGTTTAGCTCGACCTTGAGCTGGTCAACGGATGCGTCCGACATGGTTCGACTGAGTGTGTTGGTGGGTGGTAGTTGGCGGCGGTTCGTGGTTGAGGGGAGGAAGAGGTCAATAAGATGGTCAAGTATGTGATGTGTACTTGATGGCACGGGATACGTGATGACGGATAGCTACAAGCTCGAAAAGCGTCTCGAGACGTTGGCAAAATGCTGAGGTGAGTCGACTCTTTTTCCTTCTTGTCAAACGTCTATTCGGGAGCCCGTGGATGGAGTTGGGAATAGGTAGTGGGAGGAATGGAATACATTTGTGCTCTTTTTATATTCGTGAGAATCTGCCTATCCACGTGCCTGTAGAACTCCGACGTTGCGGTGAGTGAAGAAGGCTTCATACTTCATCACTGATTGAGTATCTCGTGCGACGGTGACAGTCACGCCATATCAAGGCAAGTGAGGCGGCCCCGGGTGAGACTTGGGCAAATCTATGCGACGTGATATTACACGACCTAAGTTACTCTGCTGAAATAGCCAGAAGGGGGTACTTTTGCGAAGATGTTGCCACTCAGGGTCATCCATTTGATTCACAGGAGCAGATTGCGACTCAACTTGAGGGAAGAGTCGGCCTGGACAATGTGTTCAAGACAATTTATACACATTTTGTCCTGGCAATGACGTATAGATCAATTACAAGGTACGAAAGAAAACGTGATGAATGTATCTGCAGTGAATTCCTCGCCGTCGTGAATCAACTACCGGGAAGGGCTGAAGAAGTCACCACCGTTAATGTGGCGAGGATGGTGAATGATGCAGGAGTAGTATCCTGGTCCTTTCCTATACCTAAAGATGATTGCCTTTTGTTGCCCAGCCAAAATTGTCACTGCGAGCCTCACTCCAAAGTGACGAGTTCCGCCTCTCGTTCAGATACTACTTCTTCACCTGGGCGGCATCATAGCGGCAGCTGTCGCAGCTCTCTATCTACATTCCACACCAGTTTTCAGAAGAGATCAGAAAAAACAAGCTCTGCAGGAGCCTTCCGCGCTTGGCACCTGTTATGCTTCGTTGCGCAAAAAAGTCCAGATGAAGGTCGTGAGGCGATGCGACTGCCTTCTCTGCCGCTACCCGGCACAGACGGCATTTGACGCCGCGTTTTGCGAATAACAATAGCGAAAGGGGTGGACAGGTCGTAGTTTTGCAAGCTGCTAGATAATTGGGAAAATGTCAATCCCTTTCTAGCAAAGGGATAAAATAAGTACGTTTGATTACTTGTTCAGTCAAATTGCTGTGACGTTACCAGGTTGGGCCGCCCACGATCTGCCAACTACATTGCTGCCCAGCATACCAGGGCATTTTTTGGGTCGGGTCTGCGGGTAGTAGCGAAAGTCCACAACGTAGATCCAGATAAATTGCATCTTGAATGAGCCTTATCGCGCATCCTCCAGCAACAAACCATCATCCGCACGTTTGGCTTGCAACACACCAGACAGTCTTTCGTTGTCTGGGTATGTAGCAGGATTTTCACGGCAAATCTCCTTTGGATCTACAGCTCCGCCCTGCCATCATTGGCTCGTCGGTATTTGAGTAAAGGGAAACTCAGACGCCTCCTTTTCTGTTCTTGGGAAGTACAAGATGCAGGCTGCCGTGGGGATCTGCGGATCAATAACCAGGATCCGAACGCTTCACGACGCACTCTTTAGGCAAGCCCACAAAGCGGAGGGAGGAGTTGACGAGAAATGCACACACCGCATGGAGTAGTCGGAAGGAGAGAGGAAGGGAGGAGGGAAGAGGGGCTCCGGACGATAACCTCACCCCGTAACGACAGCGAGAAGCAGCGCGCGCACTGCTTTCCCGTCTCGGGCTCCACGATGTGAGCGGGAAGAAGCCAGATTTGTGTCTCTCTCTCCTTCCGCCCGCTTTCACTCCAGCGAGTTCCGGTCGGTCAACAAACCATGCATCCATCGTTGTTGCACAGGTAAATGTTTCACGAGTGGGACTCAAGTCTTTGCTGCCGTCGCAGGCTCTCTCCCCTCACGCGCATAAATCGCCGAGCCCGCTGAGTAACGCCAAGGCCACGATAGAGAGATGGAGTGAGGGCACACGATTCTTAGGCAACCAAGCATCACATCCCTCGTTGTGATGCTACTGGGACCAGGTAAGGCCGTTAGCTCCTTGGGCTTTGACCGCCTCTGCTGTTACCGCGCGCGAAATAATAAAACATGAATCGGCGTCTTCCGTCTAGCTTTATTGGCTGACTAAGTTAGTTAGTTATTTATGGAAAGAGGGGGAGGGCTGATGATCGAGTCAAGCAAAGGTACGGTTGGCTCATAATTGATGACACCGCAAAGATCAGCTCACTCTAAGCCGAGGACCGCACCCTTGCCTGCTGCATTTTCACGAGCCGGCAGGTAGTTTACTGGTACTACTGGTGGCAGTTGGGCGACCCCGTCTTTGCCTAGGATTCTATTATTATTCCTCTCTAGTGATCGATCGTCGACTTGAATGGCGGGCAGCTGGCATCGGGCTGCGAAGCCAAGTGGGTTGGCTGCTGGAACAACGAGTGACATGGCCGGGGAGTCCGAGCATATTCGGGAGAGCTTCCAGACGTGTTCTATTTGGACCGAAACGAAACCAGTGGGGTAACAGCTCAACTCAGCCGTCAATGCTCGCCAAAGATCATCAGTGTGCTTTAACCTTTCTTGGGCATTTGCCTTTGACTGGTAGTTCGCGTTAATCTGTGTTAGTTGCAAGTCGTCTCAAACGTGCCTATCGAAACATGGCGGGTGAAACAATTGTCTCGTTAATTCTGTCCCTCGCAAACACGGTCTCGTTCATGTTCCGCTCAGCGCCATGTCTCTGCGGCAAGATTGCGCGCCCGCATGGTGAGAAGTGCCGCAAGTCGACAGGCATTGCAGCCTTATGCCAACACCAGCTTGTTACAACTTGCCAGCATGCAGAACCCATCAACCTGAAGATCAGCATGGATACCCCTTGGTTGCCGGATCCTTGAGGTCGAGAAGCGGAACCAGTTACGACCCAGTAAGACGGATTCACGAGGGCGCGCGGCTCAAAGGTGGGCGGGATTGCAGCCACAACTATGTTGGCGGCGGTGGCGGCGCCGGCGGCTTGTCCCATCCTTCGCGGAATGAGGGAATCGACAGAAGAGAAAGAAGGGCCAAGGGCAAAGCACGGTGCCGGCACCCCTGTCCTTGCTTGCCATTCCCTGCCCTGGGATGCGCAGCTAAAAGCTCAGCTACCTTGCTAGTAGCAAAGTGGCTGCCACGTTTTCGGTAACTGACACAGAAGAGTTTCATCACCCCGTTAGCAGCTTTTAGCAGCCAGTATTCGTTGCTTCAAGCGTGTTTCCTTTTCTCTCAGCCCTGCGCTTGGACACCAACACAGAGCTCACTAGTCAACTACTCACTCCAGAACTTCGTACGTTGTATGTGCAAAACAGCTCGTTTCCCCTCGAGGCAGTGAGACATGAAGGTCGGGTTGGCAAAACGACATCGGGGACACTGCAGCGGGCGCAGTCATCGCCCCTGAACTTGCCAATTGCAGTAACCACTGTCCGGGTGAAATCCACTCGTATAGTCATACTCGATCGGTTAAGGCATCCTTTGGGCTGTGCTGTAGGTCTGATATAGGTGATGCGCAAGGATAATCGCCAATAGTTGAACCATATTAGATCACCTTCTCCAACGCTGCACATGTGAACTGCTGCGCGCCCACATAAGCAAGACATGGTTTATCAGCCGAATCTTCCCTGTCATTAAAAAGTAGCACGAGCACGAATTGCCATGAATCAAAGAACTACAAAGCACGGATACTGCGCACCTAGTTCTTTACCAGCAACTCAGCCAGTCAGTCGATGGGAAAATAAGCTACGGAGAATAGGTCGGCCTCCAGAAGCGGCCCCATTTCCATTGAAACGCCGACCCAGCTCCTCCTCCGCTACCCATGCCGTCCGGGAGGAGAGGAATAGAAGCTATATTAAAAATAAACCAACGCGTGGAGAGTCAGGCCATTTTGACAGCAAGAGCAATATTTGCGTGTTGCACCAGGCTCACCGCAAGGAGCAGGGCTCTCGGGTTCATGGTAGGCAGCTACGCGATATGGACAGGACAGCTGCTAACCTGTACTCGGTAGTACTGCTAGTTAATAAAGCAGCGGGGGAGATGTGATGGCGGAAGTAGGCCTACCGAGCCGTCCGGTGACATGTCATCAAGTTCAACAAGCCATTGTTCCGGCATGGGTTCGCAGTGACATGCTGCTGTGCGGGTCAGTGTGTGGCAAAAGATTCGGGGGAGAGGTGTGTTGTCTCATGATTTGATGATTTGCACAGCAAATTTCCATTGGAACAAATCGCCCACCAGCAACGTTGTAACCTTTCATCTTTTCATCTCTCTCGCAACCGAGCCGGAAGAGAGCCGCTGCCGACAGCCCTGGTTTGTCAGGGGTGCTGGCAACAAACCGCAGCAGCATGTGCCAGTCAGTCCGGACCCTCTCGTGGATGCATAACAAGATCTTTTGTGAATATGAAAAAGCAAAGAATTATAGTTCATCGAGTGCATTGCATTGAGAGTCAGCAGAAACATGCAGAGGCGGCCTCCGCTTGGAAATCCGGAGCATTGCATTGGCTGGTCAGCTTTCTGCACAACGACAATACAAAGTCATGTCATTCGAGGAGGGATGCCATCGACAACAACTGTTGCATGTATAGCTCTATTTATATGATTTTTATATTAATTACGGTAAATTCGTACTTATTGCTGCTGGGCTATTAGTGTGCAACTCGACTAGGTAACGTTGCACTGCTGGAGAGGCATAACTACCTAGACTGACCTTATTCATATCGCTAATGTTGTGCACCATTCAGTTGTCCTGAGGCTGAATGCAAAGCCCACTTGATGCTATCCGTACTCCGTATCCGTACTGTATCAGCAATAAAATTGAGGAGCCCGTGGACATCACCCGCGCACCCGAAGCCCATGCAACAGATCACCAGGAGTTGCGTCAGGGGTTCCCCTGCCGCCGTCCTCCCCATGAACGGAGCCAATTGGCGTCAAGGCGGGGGCGGCAAAAAGTGACAGATCCCAAGTGACCATGGCGGGCGTGAATCTCGCGGGAGACGGATGAGAAGCTTATTCGTATACTTTGGTAATACGTCATTTCACTTCCCACGTTGCTCGGTTGATAAGATAGACAGCTACAACGCATGCACCTTGACGAGCTGAAGAGAGAGATTCACGACCCAAAAAAACAAAATAAACAAGTCAGCCGACAAGTTCGTCACAAGAATAAAACAGGGTGGTGGAGGGAAGACACGACTCGCGACACCAACTCATGCTTTGACGCTGGCATGCGTGCTCCAACCTCCTGGTACCAGTACGCCGTAACTAGTTATTACTTACAGACCCGGGAGTTGGCAATCGCCGAAATCTCGCTCTGCCGTGCCTCAACTCAACCCGGTCCGACCAGCCAAGGCAGGGATCATGGGGGCTTGGCCCCGGCTGGCACACATCAGAGACACGACTAATTAGTTGAATGTCTGACCGTTCTGGGGGTCTAATCGCCTTCACGCAAACCAACCAATCCATTGTTACCGATAAAGAGAGTCGATTGGGCTCTCACCGCCCTGTTTGTTTCTCACGATTCAGCCAGCCGGGTCTGGGGGTCTTTTTAGTTGTCGTATCCGTCAGTGTTGGCGACGGAAGCGACAGATACCACAAGTTTGCATAGCATCGCCCGTTCACGTCCTGGCAAACGGACAAAAAGACGTCATCGATGAGTTCGCCGACTTCAGCACGGATACTTGCAGCCTGAGAGCAAGTTGATAGCCCACGCCGACAATGGGTTGGCCGCCGAGTAGTGCGCCCGCAGCACGGTCTTTGCGATTCATTATTCAGCCTATTGTGCGGATAGCTATTCTTTTGCAACTAGTTAACCAAAAGAGCAAGCAACTACGCGCCCGTCGTAATATTGGCACTTTTTGAACCTTGTCATCTGCAACTAGTTTGTTCAACTCGTTCATGCGTGGCTCGCGTCGACTCCCAGCATCCCATGTTTAAATCAGGGTATAGTGACGAAAAATCAGGCCGGCTTGGGCCCGCACAGCGCGGAAACGCAATTAATAAGAATCAAGAGCAACAATAAGCCCAGCATTCTTTCTCGGCTGGGCCTCTTTTGAGTTTGTTGCCGCGCTAGCTGGGCTGAATGGGCTGAGTATGGCCTGTCTTTCCATGGGCACGCGCGGCCCTGCATCCTGCTGCAAGCCATTTATTCTCATTCATTCGCTTGCTCACAAAGAAACCACAATTCGCTAACCGAGTTGCTCTGCATGGCATGGCATGGCATGCTGCAGCTGATGTCGGCTAGCTGTATTTGTCCTGCAAAGGGTTCCAATAGGGCACCCGGTCACGATGGACTGGACGTGGCGAGCTGGATAGACATGAACGAGACATGTGCGGTTGCAGCGACGGATTACTCTGTTGGGCGGCATGGTGTATTAATTATGTCGGATTCCTCCTGCAGTGGCCTGATATAGAAGACTGCTGACTACTAGGTCGGCGACTGCTGACAATGGTCGGCTATTGATATTGTCGAGTTTCTTCCGGAAAGAGAAGAAGTAAGCTACAGACTAAGAAACTATTATTAGAGCATGATTTCCCACTACTCTCGTTCGATTCGCTTCGCTGTTAATCTGACAGTAGCATTCCTAGCCTGTCTTATTTCTACATAACGATATCACCGCTATTAATCTCTTTCAACACGGCAAGGTTTCAGCATGTATTTTACCCACTAATAACTACAGTTTTCAGATGGATATTCAACAGTCATGGACGTCATTTTATGAACATGGCCTCGTTCTTATAACCATGGATTATTTCCACATCTCTCGATTCGACAGGATGAGCGGTAAATCAACCTTACCGGGATCGGGCTGCTACTGGCCAGCTGGAACTTTGGGAAAAGAAATCCTTTCAGAACCCGTCGCACACCCAAAAAAGACACAGCCAGGGTCAAGCTTGACTTTTTTTCTTCTTGCGCGCTCCGATGGAACCGCGTCGACCGGCGCCGGCCGGTCCCCGATCCACCCACGTCGAAGAATGCCTGCCAAAAAAAAAAAGAAAACTAATAAACAGGCGGAGCTAACTCAGTCGAGGTTGCCGGCGGTCCACGGATAACGGATAGTGATTTCGGGAATGCTGGCAAAGTAGGAAGGAGAGGGAGGGAGCTGGTGGTTAACTAACCATCACGGGAGCAGCAAAAAAAAAAGCGACCAGTAGAGACCAGATGAATGGACCGAGCCCCCCCCCCCCATGGTGCCGGAAAGCGCACGTCTCGAATCTACGGAGAGCATGACTCTTGTTGATGAAGCTAACAAGTCAGCATGGCTTGGTCTGGATAGGTGAGGCAATCAATGCACGGAGTGAATGCCGAGTGTGTTGGCGCCCTGAGCGTTTCGCGAGTTTTGTCGGTGTTTGTTGAATATTCGTACCAATACTCCGTACGGATACACATGATGCCGTGGGCCAGGGTTCGTAGCGGTGATCGCCAGCCAGCAATCAGAATTAGAAACAATGATCGTCGGTGAGTATCAAGCCCCCTCCCCTCCCTTATTGTCCAGCGACGGTTGGCCAGAGAAGCTGCAGGACAGGTCACAAAATGGGCAACAAGCAAAGAAGAATCCACTATATTCATGTGAAATTCCGCACTTTGACGCACCACCGCTTCCGCTGGTCCGCAGATCATTGGGAGCCAAGTCTTATTAGTGAGGGCGCGAGACGCGGGCTAGAAGAAAGCGAGCGACCAACCAACCAACCAACGAACCGAACCCTTGACCAAAGAGAAGCGCCGGTCTGGGTCCCCGGAGGTCTTCCCCCCATGGATTCTCGCAATATTGACTTGATAAAAATAAAACTCGACGACGGGAAAAGGAAAGATGGATGAAAAAAGAGGAGCAGGCCCCCCCCTTCTACCTACCCTCATTGGAGGACAAGAAAGTGATCATCATCTGCCGTCCCTCTTGACAGCCACAGCGCCCACACAACCCACACACATGTACCAGCAGGGCGGCGCTGCGTTGTCTTTCCTTGGGGTTGGGTGGTGCAATGCGTTAGTTTTGGGATATTGATTTTACGGAGTACTTGGTAATTAGTGCCAAACGGCTGTGCTTTGGGAACGGGCGTCGTCGGGCAACGGAAGGCAAATAACCGACAACTTATCACAATGACCTGAGTGACTGAGTGACTGAGTGACTGAGTGACTGACTGCATGCTCCTCCTCCTCCTCCTCCTTCGTACTGGCCCTGTCTGCACTGCGACTCTGCAATGGTGATATGGAGTTGAAAGCTCATACGATCGAAGCGTTCGACTCTTGGCGAGAGCCAGCAGCGTTAAAGCTTAAAAAATAGGAAGAGCTTCTGGAATAGTTGACGCATTAGCGGGCAGCCTAACAGTAGCGCCGGCACTACACAAATACATACATGATACATAGATACATGCTATTTCGTAGCCAATACTCGGAGCACTCTCGGTGATCCCACCACCAACCCCCAGGAGACCCTGACTCTCTCTAGTCAGTCTCAATTCCGATAGACCCAGAATGGCTGATTCTTGGTGGAAAACGTTCTTCTCGCTTCGCCAAAAGGCTTGGCCCGGCTTTATTTCTTTGGCGTCTCTCAACACCCAACTAACAACTAGTCAGTTCCCATTCCGAAGATCAGGGAGTGAGTGCCCCCCCTTCCTTACCTCGTGGTTGGGTCGGGGTCACTGGACAAAAAAATGATTAAACCCGTCTGGAGGCATCTGCCGACGGGTTACTTTGTAGTGGCATAGTTACTAAGGCAGGCAACGCGCGCTTTGTCTACACGATGCCTTCCGAGCGCACCGAGTGCAACCTGACAAGTGACCAGCGTAGATTATTATCATCATCAAGACAAAACACCTAGAATTCTCGTATCTTTCTTTTTCCTAACCTAGCCCTTTTCCTTTTGCAAATTTGTTGCCCTATCCGGTTTTTGTATACATGTTTTCCCAATCACCACCACCGACCAGTACAACGAGCGAAATGCCCATTCCAACCAGCCCAAAAAGCCCCAACTCGAAACGGCCGTTTTGTAAGAAGAGTTTCAAAAAAAAAAAAAGTCATAACTATACAATTAGTAGATTCCATTTCCTTTGCCCCCTCCCGGCCCCCAAAACGCCTCGCCAACCAAGCAAGCAAGAACCCAAAGAGAAACGGTCCCAAAAAAAATGATGAATGAGTAATGTCTGTGCATGTAACCCTCACCCCCCCCCTCCTTCCCGCCAGCCATCTCGACCCACGGACTGGTCCTATGGCAATTATGATGCAGCTCCGTTGTTTGTTTGCATCAAACAGGCCTTGTTCGCCCCTCCTCTCGCCCGGGGGAGAGCCAACACCACCACACCGACTCAGACCATTGCTCGACTCCCCAGGGCGGCGCTGGCCGAGTGGCAGCCTCGCTCGTGACGCTTCATGTTGCTGCGCACGCTAAAGGCCTTGCCGCAGCCGGGATGCGCGCACTTGTACGGCTTCTCGCCCGTGTGCGAGTGGCTGTGGATGCGTAGGCTGCTCGGCCGGCTGAAGGCCTTGTTGCACGTCGGGCACAGGTACTTGTCCTGGCTCTGCGGGTACACGCTGCTCTGCGACGGGTGCAGGTAGTGGTGGTGCTGCCACAGCTGCTGGCCCTCGGCCGTTGGCGGGAAGGACTGCGGGAGCGCCTGCTGGTGGTGGTGGTGGTGGTGCTGGGCGGCGTAGTGGTGATGAGGGACGGGCTGCTGTCCCAGGGCGTGGTGCCCGGCGGGGACGCCGTAGTAGCCCGGCGGCGCGGCGGCGGCGGCGGCGGCGGCGGCGTGCTGAGGATGCCCGGAGGCGAATCGTTGCGGTGGCACGGGGATGGATAGCCGTGGTGCGCGGGACGCGGCGGCCTGCAGTTGCTGTCGGAGCTCCGTCTGCTGCTCCAGCGGCGGCGTCGTCTCGTGGAAGCGACTCGAAGAGGAGGAGCTGCTGGAATCGAACGGGAAGTGCCCCCTCGCCTGGCTTGACGGCGAGCTGTAGCCGTCGTACGCGCTGTCCGTGCTTAGAGGCGGCGTCGGCGGGAGACCCCGACGGTGGTGGTGCTGGAACGCGCCCGAGTGCCTGGAGCCCGGACGGCTTCCCAGGTTGCCCGACTCTCGTCTGCTGCGCCCGTGTTGTGAGAATGAAAAGGATGCTAGATCATTGGGTTAGATGCATGTCAAGGCAGCAGCAGCACAGTCAAGTTCCCGTACCTTCTGATTTAGGAGACCCGCGGTAGGATGTCGGTGACGGGTCTGTCGTGGGCGAGCCAGCGTCCGCGAGACCCAGGAGGTTCGAGATGGAGGGGAGGGAGCAGCGGGAGTCGTCCATTGGGGGCGATGGAGGAGGTCGTGGGGGTCGGTTGTACAATTGGCTGCTCGTTGTCGGCGGGTAGGCAAGCGATACGGCCATTGTAGGCTGTGTCGTGCAGGCTGTGTTGTTGTGTGCTTGCTCGGATGTGGTTGTCCAGCTCGCCTTTTTGTACACTATGTCTAGATCAAGGTGTATAAAAAAGAGGCGGCAGGTGGGGATGTCTGGTGGTAGCTGAGCAGCTGAGCAGCTCGAGGCAGTCAACTTTGGAATCGAAAGTATCTTGGGTGACGGGCGACAGTATGGTATCGTGAATACTGTATCGGTTGATGTAGGAGATAGTTGATGGTCAGGGTGTAAAACTAGGCGATGTATGTATGTGTCGTTCCTATCCGGAGAGAGGGGGGGTCGAGGTGGTATAAATATGACGGGGTGTACTGCATGTATGTATGGATGCACAGCACATACAGCCTTGGCCTCAAGTAGAGTGACGAGTGTGTGGGGAGCCGTCGTATATCAGATCGGAGAGGGCTGTTCCACTGAATGATCTGTGAGAGTCCTTGCTATTGGAAGAGCAGAATTGACCTGTGGTGCTCGGATGGTTTCTGATCCCTGTGTATTGACGTCCAAGGACCTGGCCGGTCAGTCGTGTACGTCGTACGTGGTTGGACGGGAAGAGGTGTATGCAGCAGGAACCCAAACCGTCTTGTGACGAAGAAATGAGGGAGGGGACCGGTAGAGGGGCGTCTGCCGTTTTCTGTGGCAATAGTACCCATCCATACTGGGCGTTTATATGGGTAAACGCCTTCTGCCATGTACGGAGTACCGGTATGGATGTGGTAGTGGTATGGCCCCCCTCCGTGGTGGAGGGCGGGCGTCTCCAGTGATCGAAGAGCACGAGCAGGCATGGTTAGTTGAGTTGACGGGTACAGACCAGGCAGGACTGAAGAATTGTCCTTTGCTTGCTCCTCGAGGGGGAGGGGGAAGGGGGGTGTGGCAGTAACGAACCGCTGTCACCACAATACGGTCCAGTAGGAGACAAACCTGGGACCTTGTTCATAACGGCCGTCACTTGGTGGATCTACTGGGGAGTGGAAGCCAGGCCAGGCCGGGCCAGGCCAGGGCTTTGCGGTTTTGTAAGGGTGTCATGGTGTCAAGGTGTCAAGGTGTGCGGCACTGGTCAAGCAACAAGCATTGATGAAAGCAAAGTCCCGCCGCGGAACTGACACGGCTTCGTCTGTGGTGTGTGTCTGTGTGGGTGGAAGAAGAAACCATCTAGTTTACACGCCCGTGGACCACCCAAGCTTGCATGCCAGGCTTGCTTGTGGGCTAATCCATTGTCAAATGGGGCGATTGCGTCTCGCTGATGAAGTCTACCGACCCATCCTATCCGCACCTTACTCCAGTGCTCCGTACTAGGTAGTTCTAGTTGGCAACTGGAAAGAGAGGAGCTCCTGTCATTGATTGACTTCCCGTAGGCCTTTTTTCTCCTTGACAGCGGCCGGAGCCCTGCCCAAAAGCGTCGACTATTCAAGCCACACGGCCCCAGTGAGCCAGCCAGGCGGTTCCATTCCACTCCTTACTGGATATGTAATAACGCGCAAATACGGATACCTACTACTTATGTATTACTTGTTCCTTTCCATTGATCAACAGTAATTAGTTAGTTATAACAAGCAAAAGCACGGGTTCAATAGCTCGGCCAGCGCGGGGCGCTAAGACGGTGCCGCGTCTTGTTCCAATTGTTCACCAGAACCCGACTAGAACATTGCTAACCATTCCTCAGTAAACTAGTACGTGTTCACACTCGGAGAAACGACTTCTCTGTAACCTTTTGACACCCACGGAACTGCTTTTCCCAGCCAGCGACTCTACCGGAAAGCTGTAAACTGTAACCAACTCGACACCGGAAGCTGTGATGTCGATGGCTAAAACCGTCTCGTCTTGGAGACTTTGCTCATGCATCACCAACTTTCTTTTCTTGTTTTTGTTTTGTTTTTTTGCAACCCTTCTCCCTTTGCAGCCACTTCCGCCTTGACAGGACCGAGGCACACACACAGTCAAAAAAGGTTTTCGGTGGTGGGACCTTACGACCCCCCCTGGTAACAGAACTTGAGACGATCTTTGAGTCGGGGTATAATTGTCATAGTGCCAGGAGATCAACTTTGGCTGTTGGGAACAGAGGAAGCCGTCTAAAGTAGATCCATGCAAAGCAAGTTAATGCTCCGAGGCCACTGGGAAACCTCCGCAGATGGTTGGCCGTCGTCGCCCCTTTCGCCTTTTTCGACAAACGATGCTGTCTCGTCTTTGGTGCTCTCTTGCCCTGAGCTAACTCGGGTTTCGGCTCGTGATCTTCCGCGAAAGGCATCCTGTCTTTTTTGTCATTCTTGATACGCACTACAACTTACGCGAAGAGGAACGCAACGCGCAAATGACCCCCCCCCCCCCCCCG